GATCCAGGGCGATCTGCTGGGGCCGGCAGAGCAGGGCAGCCCGGTACCTCTCATCCAGCACGGTCAATTTCAGCACCTTCCCGGAGCGGACAGCGACCAGCGCGGCCGTCAGACCCACGGGACCCGAGCCCACAATGAGCACCGAGACCCTGGCCCGCCACTGTCTGAAGCCGTCCAGGCTCACTTTCACCACCACGTACACGGCCACCGCCACCAAAGTGCTCAGAGCGGTGTCATAGGCGAGAGCGCGATACCTCTCCTCCGCGTTCTCCCCGATGCCGCCAACTCCTGCGTTTTCTGCCTGCAACCCGTCCATACCGCGAACAGGAATTGTAGGCTACTATAATAACGAGCCAGCAGCTGAATTCTGCTTTAATATCAAGCCAAACGTCCTTTCATTATGAATGCATTCACTGACAGAGAGAAGGCGTTACATCCATGCACACATCCAAACCAGACCATCTGAGACGCTGCAAATTGAGTTGCAGCACGCTGCTCTCTCTCTCCCTCTCTCCCTCTCTCTCTCTCTCTCTCTCTCATCTCTCTCTCTCTCTCTCCTCTCTCTCTCTCTCTCTCTCTCTCTCTCTCTCTCTCTCTCTCTCTCTCTCTCTCTCTCTCTCTCCTCTCTCTCTCTCTCTCTCTCTCTCTCTCTCTCTCTTTCCCTTTCTCTCTCTTTCTCCAGCCTGAAGTACGGTGTTAGATAGTGTCGTCAAATAAAGAAAAAAAACGTGAAGCCATATTTCAGAAAGTGCCAGGACTTCATAAAGTCAATGGAAACTAGCCATAGGCAAGTGATTGTCCCGTGCTCAAACACAATACATGTTAACAGCTAACTGCAGGCACTGAAAAATGTGCTTCGGTATTACTCTAGGAAACTATTGATTTACAGTTGAAAAACAAAAGAGAGATTTGAATATCTCTTTAACATTTACAACTTTTGATCAGGCATTTGTGAATCCATTTTGTATTTGTCGACCAAAAATGCGCTTGTGGATCTCACATTTCTGCTTGTGGATCTCAAATCTCTGCTCGTGGATCTCAAATCTCTGCTTGCGGATCGTCTTTTTACACACACAGAGTTTTTAGACAACCTTTCCGCCGGTCTCGGCTAAAATCTACTCGTGTCACTCGGTTATTTTCGGAAACCACGTGATGGCCTGCTGATGACGACATTTCCGCATGGTTTTCAAAGTAAGAGCATGATGGTTTGTTTAATGCACTGTTTTTTTAATGAACAGCGGAACGTTAGATGCATTCTTTATCACCATCATCATCATGTTATAGTGATACAGTTAGTTTGTGTTTATTGGTTCAACTTTCTTCATTGTTTTTTGTGTATTCAGTCAAGCGGGTCAAAGTTACAAAGCACTTCACATCTTATTAATTGGCCTAGTTTTACCTTACCAGTGCAGTGGTAAGGTAATCTGTAGAAAAGCACCGTATTTAGGTCAGCCTTCATACCTACTTACTTACTTACCTAGTTTTATGATTCCAAAATTATAAAAGTAGGGTAGACATGTGGAGATTATCCGGCTCTCTCTCTCTCTCTCTCGCTCGCTCGCTCAATCTGTAGCATATCGTTTTCGAATCAATCATTTTTCAAATTATGAATTTCACATATATAAAAAAAAACATACATTTCTTGGCGTTGCTTAGCAGTTGCTAGGCCAATTGTTGGTGTTGCTTATTACCAAGCAGAAATTTGAGATCCACAAACAGAGATTTGAGATCCACAAGCGCATTTTTGGTTGACAAATACAAAATGGATTCACAAATGCCTGATCGAAAGTTGTCAATGTTAAAGAGATATTCACAGATCTTTTTTTTATTTGTGAAAATATTTAGCGTATATGGTGTTTTACATTTACAAATCAAATTTTTTTTTATACAGTCTATGATATTTACACACAAATAATTTTTCAGTTCACACAAATAATCAAGAGACATATCTATGCCCATAGGCGACGCAATAGTCGGGGTCCATCTGTGTCAGTTCTTTGGTGTCAGCTTGGTGTGTCCGGGCCTTTACACACAAACACACACACACACACACACACACACACACACACACACACACACACACACACACACACACACACACACACACACACACACACACACACACACACACACACACACACACACAGCAGCAATTGGTAAAAAGCAGAATGTGGCAAATCTGGTATGACAGAGTCTTAATTTGGTGGGGAAAATATGATTAACAAAAAAGCCAGAGGAAAAAGTCTGCTTGTAGAAACTTCTTTAATTTCTTCTGTACCTTTGGCAAACATTGCCATTTCCTTTGACCCTATATCTTTTCCAGATCTATGTTACAGTAATCACTGTTATTATATTGTGAAGTACAGATACAACACAATTCCCTTCTACTGTATGTTGCATATACTGTATATGGAAACAATGACAATACATTCCTCCTTTAACCTGCACTCAAACAAATAAAGAAGCTAAATAAATGAATATTGTGTTACCAAAGAACAGTATTCATACTCCGTCATATAAATTACTCATCATATTTCTTCTCTCTGCTTCCACCCTTGAATGACCCCAATGCGGCACATTCATCAGAGGGTTTAGCATTTTAAATAATGTGACCTTTAAGCCCCCTTTGAGTCCTGCTTATATAATTAGCTCTTTGACGGTGGTAATGACATCAATATACCCAAAGTGACTCCTGATATAAAGCAAAGCCTTCACAGGAGGCTGACAGTGAGGTTCATATGACAGGGAAAACAAGACAATCTATAAATCTAGTTAAATCGCTGGTGATCAAGAAAGAACGTGAGGTGGCAAAGATAAACACACACACATACAGAGACAGAGAGAAAGAGGCGTGTTAGTGTGAGACACTGTGCCTCCGCCGGTGATTGGTTTCCACCTCTGCAGGAGCATGGCAACCATCACACTGTCAAGCGAGTCCAGATGAAAAGAGATATTAAGCTCTAATTACAGCTCAGACCTGCAAGCTGGCAGCCAACCACAGACAAGGCATTCCCTGGAAATGAATGGAGAGTTGTTTCCTGGAAACAATATGATGAGCTAAAATATTCCATAATGGTGCGTCAATGATCTCTTTGTATTGATATCAGAATCAGAAACAGAAACAGGTTTATTACCAGGTAGGTTGGCAGGTACGAGGAATTTGACTTGGTGTTGTGGTGCATACATCAAAATAAAACCAAAATTAAAAACACAGAAAGAAAACTATTTTAAGAAAATCATAATAACATTAAGAAATATTTAAAAATATAGTCAAATATACTTTTGTTTTTTCTTAATTCAGAATAATATGGCCTTTTAAAGACTAATTGAAAAGCATTATGGTTTAATAACATATTGTTTGTATTAAAAACTCTAGATAACGTTTGTACATGTTAGTGGATAGATTCTAAATTATTCAACATGATGTACCATGAACTCTAGAAAACAATTATGCAGCCTTTTTTCTTTGATTTTCACATTAGCATGCTAATATATGCATTGACAGAGGGGAAATGGAGATGATGCTTTCACCAATCCTGGGGAATTGAATGTGATAATGACAGGATCCCTCACACGTCCTGCTCCGACACAATCCCACACCTAAACAAAGACGCACAGAGAGCAGGTTTTTATCCTGCCCACATCTTACCGCCAGTAATGGGGCCAAACATAGAACTGAAATCATTAGAGAAACAAACTAGTTAGGCCCCCAGATAATGAATACAAACCCTCATTGATGTCAGCGAGTTCAGGCCATATTAAATCAGCATATTCACATACAGGGTCACTGTAAAAAGCACGACCAATCATTTTAGCCGGCCCGGCTAAAATAACTGGATGGCCTACCTGCCTGTCAGCCTTCCATCTGTGCACAAACTTATCTCGTGCCCTCATTGGTCATGTGCGCGTTCGTGTGTGTTGGAGGAGGGTCTCTGTAAGGAAGTGGCAGATTTTTTCCGGCTGTGTATTTTCAAATTCTAGCGTACTCGAAGCCGGTTTCTCCAAAATTACCTACCCCACCTTTAACATAAAGTGTTTCCTTTCTGTTGGCATAGTTCTGCTCTGGGACATAACAGAACTCACACAAACACGCAGAGATGATAACACACAGAGATTCCTTGTTAATTTACAGTCAACTGCAAATACTTTCCACTGGACCATCATTTCAAGGCCCTGGCTAAGCAAACGTCACAACTGACACTGACACTACACATTTGACTCAACGAGTGCCAAAATAGTTGGTTTAGTTTATCTCAAGGACAGGCAGATTATTGACTATCGGTGGATACATTCACTGACTTTTGATCTGGTTCCTTCATATCCCTGAATTTATATCGTTCTGCATTGTATTTTGTTACAAAATATTCCTTGCTGTAGGTTACATGTTGGAGCTTGAAGTGGGAAAACATAGCATTTATTTCACAGTGTTTGCACTGCCAACTGTCAACCTGTCTAGCTCCAGCTGAGTCTGAAGTGGTGACGCGCTCAGAGCTAACAGACTGGAACTGCGGTGACGTGGGTTCAGCCGAGCACACACTACGACCACAAGGAACACATCAGATCACCATGGTTACTCAGTGTAATAAGGTCAGTGTGTGACGCTTTATGCTATCATCGTAGAAAACTTCTGGCAGCGTTCTGAAAGCAATAAATTGTAGCAAATCTAGGTTTTTTTTGTTGCATTGGATTGCCATCCAGAAAATACTTGTATTACATAATTGCCTATTTTAATCTGACTAGTACATTCTTAATGAATCCTTAAGCCACACAGCTGCAATTCACAATGTTAGTTGAGCATGTCATGGCACACTTACAGAGTCCGTAATTTGAAAAACAATTTCCCTGCAGACACATTTTCTAATGACCAGAAACAACTGATGGCTAAAAATAGTCCCATTCAGCAATCCAGCTGCAGACGACGAGAGAGAAACAAAAATGAATCTTGAAGAAGGATGATTGACTTTTCCCACAGCATAAAAAAGAACAATCCAAGCAGCTGGTAAAGCATAACACTTTATTTTCTCACTAAGATAGTACAGAGACACACTGAATTGGATGTATTATTAGCTGAAAACTCAAGCATGCACATATAAGTGAATCTGCATTCATTTAAGTTTGTCAAAAAAAATCAAGAATCACAGGCGTAATAAAACTTACATACACTGGATCTTACTTGGCTAATGACACTATCAGGAAATACAATCTTTGAAAAACTTAAGAAACCAATATTAAAAGAAAATTTGTAAATACAATTGAACCTTTTTACCATTTTAACATTTCCTGCAACAATGGGTTGGACTGAAAGCATCCATAAAAAGAAAGGGTCTCAAGTAGGACTGAGACTACATCAGTTTTCCCAGAAGTTCACAAGTCTAATCAGACTCAAGGGTTATCGATGGTACTCCACATAAATCTGGGATAATTCTATCCAGAAGTTAGCTTTACTCTAGGGCCCTTAATGTCAAAGATTTCGATGTTTGCCACAACCACACTTTAGTCATACCAGAACCCATCATTGTTGTGAACAATTCTCATTTTCTATTGTGATTTAACTGACCGGACAGCCTGGGCCTACATTAAGCTGAAGTGACAAGTTAAAGAGCATTGTACTCCACACACTTTGAAGGAACAGTCGTGAAGTGTTTCTGGCAGATGGTCATCAGCCTCTTCAGCCCCTGTAGAAACAAACGTAAAATGCAATTAAGTTGTTAGTTCAATTTTAAAAAAGGTTTTGATATCCTACCTGGTGAATTTATTTTGTGAAATAGCAGCTGATTTGACCTTCTTGACACTATAACTTTTTGTCAATGTGCATGTCCTGTTTTTTCAGATTTTATACTGATTTAATGTGATACAATGTGATCATTTCTAGTAAAAACTGTAAATGATGAACCAACTTGAATTCACTAAAATACTACATTTGTATTATTTATATACAAAAAATGCCAATGTATGCAGTTGTTGTGACTGTAAACCAGTAGAAGTTTAATGCAGCAGAACAAGCATACCGCACTCGCAAAATATTCAGTGTGTAAATATGTTTCTGTACAGGAAGTGTCCAATGTTAATCCCTGTCCAACAATTATGTTACCGTATGTCTATAAGAAGAGGAAATATGCATATAATGTCATTTTATAAATAGAAGCACAGATATGCCATGTAGAAAATAGTGCTCTTCTACTTAGGTAATAGAAATAACATTGGGAATACAAATAATATAATTTGAATGTACATATTTCAAACATATAACCATACAACCCAACCAAACATGCGTTTCATAGCGCATACAAGAAAGATGATACTGATTCCTACACCGTCAGAGTGCTGATAGTGCAATCATAAATATTTCCTTGAAATAATTCCCCTCCTTATATAGATTTAGGCATTCTCTCTAAGGGATAATCTGAGGGTCTCACCTGGATGTATTTTCTCTGCGTCTCATCGTTGAGGACGTGGGCCACATGCTTGGAGAAGATCTTCTCTCGCCCAGTACGAGCGTGGATACCCACCATGGTCACACCAATGGGCCAGGGAGCGTTACCGATGGCCATCTGCAGGTAGGCATCATTTGCCTGGACAAAATGTTGAATAGTTGATATATTTGTAAATTGTAAAAAAGGCTTACATGGTCAAAAACACTGTTTTTCAGATAATAACATACCTTGACATATTCTCTCTCCAACATGAATTTAATGATGTCGGTAATTGATTCTTTGATGTCAGCTGGTAAATTCTGAAAGAGATAATAGAGAATGTGTAACCATTAAAAATTAAGAAATCTATTTTCCTTGCAGCTTTTCTGTTCGCTCTGAAAATGTTACCTTCTTCCTGAGCTTCCTGAAGAGAGGTTTGAGGTAAGACTCGGTCTGCGAGTGAGTGGCACTGGCCAGCTTTCCCTGAACACTTCTCTTCACATGGTCCTCTCGCCTGTTCAGATCTTTGGCCCAAACACCGAGAAGAAACTACAATGCAACAGGAAATGAGACAAAACAGTACCAAGTATTGAAACGGGGAGAGACGACAGACAGAGTAGGATATTCATCTTGAATTGGGTTAAGGCACATAACAAAAAAAATCCCATCATCATAATATTTTGGATCTATTTAATAACAGTGCAATTCAACACTGTAAATGAATGAAGAACCACATAGTCAGTAGCCAGAGACGTGTTAAACATGTTTTATGAAAAAGCTCCCACTAGATTTAAGTTAGAGCATTATTTTCTTGTCTTACCCTCAAGAACTTGTCGATAACATCCTGGTCTCCATTATCATCGCCTTTTCCCAGAGTTCTACCAAGAGTCTGGATAAGAGTGCAGAAACCATAAAGGTACAGTTTCAGTATAAGACATAAATTGCATCATAACTTTAACTTAATAAAGAACACAATTTACAAAATGTGTTTAACTTATAATATATTTGCTGGTTCCAAATCAATTTATAAATAAACATTATTCAGTATTAACAAAACACCCAAACCTCGATTACTAATTGGTTACGACACAGTCTACTACCTCCAATTCCTCTATAGTTGTGTTTTCTTCGTGCACTTTCAGGTCGTGCTGTGTGTCCACTTCTCCCGGCTCGGTTCCTCCAACGATCTCGTTCAGGTACTGCGCGTCAATCTTGTCCATGGCTGCTTTCAGGTCGTTCCTCAAGCCCTACACACAGAGTTAAACAGTGTCAACCAGAATACTGTATTTAAAGTTGACAATACACACGGGTGTTTGCTATAACTCATCATACTGAAATAAATGTTGATTGCACAATGTTAAGGCTTTGGAATAGTAACACCACTTGCTTTTAGATTGGTTACTCATAAGCTTTGATTTCACCATGCCAACAAGAATACATTCTTCTGAAAAAACGAAGGAGCTGTGGAAAATTAAATGACATGTGTTCCGTGCAATGATGCCAGCTTTTATCCAAATGATAATGGACCTTGCACACAGACTGGAAAGATGATAGCTTTAAGGCTCCTTCCTGCTGACATCTTTAACCTTTCCGACTTCAAATCCAGCCATGTTTAGACTGTTACATCCACTCATGCAGCTGCGGGTTCCTTGTAACAGCATTTTAAGTATTAGTAGTACTAGTACTAGTGGTACTAGCTCAGATGAAGTCCAATGCTCATTCGCAGTTGCAAGGAAAGGTTGAAACTGCCTGCACTCAACACCGTGTGGTTGGCATAATAGCCGTGGGCGATTCTGAGCAACATTGGGAATAAATTACAATTTTAAATGTTTGAATATATTCCTAGCTTTTTCCATAATGGTATGAGTAAGTCACTAAATGTCACTAGTTGTTGGCTTTGTGGAAAACAAAAAGAGCTCGGGTTGTCTTTCCTGCACCAACAGTAATACTGCTTAGAACATCTAGGGGGGAAGAATGGGAATGTTTTCTATTTCTACTTTCAAAACGAGGACGATAACACCAATAAAAGAATCACATACAAAAAACAGATTAATTTCCCCTTAATTCACCCCAAAATGACTTAACTATGATTGCTTCACAGAACTTGTCAGGATCTTAGTAAAAAGCGACACAATCAAATATGAGTCCTTTGAGTGCTGATAGAAAAGTGGCGGTTAAGGGACGTGAAGTGCACTTTACAACGTGGAGTATACTGTGTGTTATTTCTCCCTGGATAGAAGGGACTTGAATCAGGATGTCTTTACTGGGCAATGTGTCATCACAATCAGTCCTACCTTGTTCACTTCAGGAGTCTGAATCTCTATCTTCCTGAGTCTCTGGAAGGCGTCGTAGTCAGACTCTGCAAACATTCGGATTGGTTCCCCTCGCTCTCTAAGTCGTCGAATTACCTTTACGAACACAGTGATGCAAAAAATGTGCATTGACTTTTAATATGGAAAGAAAAATGACTTTGAGGCAAGTGTTAATAATTTACGTTTACTCACTTCCTGTCGTGACAGTGACATTGGCAGTTTCTCTTCTGTTAGCTCCAGTGTTAACACTGGTTTCGCTGAGGTGGACGGCTCATCTTCTTCTTTGTTATCATTCTTTTAGGACAAAAAGGAGGGAAAATAAATATATTTATTTATGAAGGAATAATTGAAGGTGAATTTGATCATATTGAAAGGTTGTGCTTTCTGGGCCAATGCAAATGAAACAAATATAACTGGGGTATGTAACAATGTCCTAATAAGACCTTAGGGATAAAAAGGTTGTGTCACTATGATCAATCTTATAATGTACATTTTAATATAAATAGCAAGATTTTAATATAGCAGGATTTTAATATTAAAAAAATCATCTTATTTCAGTTGGTCTAATCACAGGCAAAATATATTCAGTAATTATTGTTGCAATATGCTACCACAACATGCTTTTATAGGCACATGCAATCTCAGCACTCTTAGATTGTGGTGTAAGGAGCACAATCTAAAAGAACAAACAGAAACTGATTACAAAAAGCCTCCCCAACAATCAATGGCCTTTTCTCAAATAAACAACAAGTATACTGTATGTGTACAAAGAGCACAGCTTAATACGTTTGACATCTTAAGCCTTGCACAAAGTCGAAGAGAAATGCAGTTTTCCATAGAGCAACTGTTACAAGGCAAAGCAAACTAGGGGACAAAAACATAGTTGATCTAAATATAAAAGCTTCTGTCATAGATTATTTGCAAAATAAGAAACTTGTTAACACAAATCTTTTTTATTTCAGTTCGGTATCCCATGCTGAAATCCACACCATGTCTGTGTCCCACTGTGGCTTTGTAGATTCCTTTCCTTGTTCCCAAAGTTTCTGCCAAGTGATTCTTTTTGTGTTTGTAAATGGTTTGAAACACAGAAATGGTCCAGTATATAATGTAGTTGTCATAATGGTTGTGAAATTGTGAAAAGCATAAATATGGACTATGGTGGTGAATTGGAAGCATGTGGTTGTTTAGCTAATTAATTTAATGCAGGTCTGAAAACAATCACATTTTCAAATGCGTTTCTGCAATTGACAAGACTATGAAAGTACCTAATTTGAAATCAAAGAAAAATCCATGACTTTTAAAAATGTGCTGGAAAAGACCAATGATGTTTCACATTAGGCAGAGATGAGCTGATTACATGTTTTATCAGACATCGAATTAGTATGTGTTCACTAAATTGAGTTGACCCAGGCATCATGGGCTTTACTCAAAAGTAAAGATGTCTCCACCATGTTATTTCTACTTTGATCCTCACTGGCTTTAGAGAGCAAACTTTCAAAAAGGGTGCCAAGGAAGCGAAAGTCTTTGGGACACAGTGTGCTTTGTCCTTTCATCATGCATCCTGTCAGCTACTTTCACTGTGCAGTCCCATACCTGGCTCTCAGGAGTCTCTCTCTGAACCTACCGATGCAGGCAGCAGAGGCAGGTTGGGGGAAAACAGCAAACACAAACACCAATGTACACCTGAGCATCAAAGACTGACCTTATTTTGTTTCCTGGCAAAGGTTTTATTACAGTATTACAAATGTCAAATCAAACATGAGATGAATCTGAACTGGAGAAAGGCAGTGATTTATTTGCATTTGTGTGTATGAGAGAGCAAAAAGAGAGTGATCTTGACATTAACCTTATATCCGCATCTTATGAAGTAATCTTCTTGTTCCATGCGTGCAAGATCGGACCTTTTGAAGAATTTCTTGTTGTCCTGAAAGCACAAATATGATGGAATTGTTATAACATTTATAACAAAATTCTATATACAAGCAATGAAAACATCATACCGGTGGCCAAGACTAGAGTGGTATAAAATAGTAAAGCTCTCACAACAAAGATGGCATATGTTTTACTCTTTATTTTCTTGAACTATGGTTGATGAATGTTTATCTTCAATACAAAATAGAAAGTGATTTAGAAAATACTGTTTTCCCCTTTGTGTTGGGTGAGAGCATACTGTCCTGCAAGTATCTTCTTGCAATGATAAATAAAACTACTTCGTTTTTTTAACAAAGTATGAACATTATAGGTGACATATTTAAGGATGACAAGGTACTGAAAATAGATTTGAGAATGATATTCCCTAAAAGTATTACAGGACATAAACTATCACCAATCATCAACCCATGAGCTTATTCGTATTAATTACACATATATTATTAGAAGCTTAGTTTATTAATGGGTTTTATTTTGTGTGTAGCATTTATGGTTTAGGTTTAAATCCCAGTATTTCCCCAGCATGGAGCAAGCACATCTGACTTCTGTTTAATAATAACGTTAGAACATTAGAAACAGCCTGCACATCCATGTATCTAACGTTAACGCCACGTTACGCACTTGCTAATGTTCGCTATTCTTTGGTGGCTTTAACCTACTGACCTACTATGAACTATATCTGAACGTGTAGTTCAAACTGGCCTATGTATTAATAGCTGTATAAACACGATTCTGTAAAGGCAACGCTGTCTGATGTGAGTTAGCAAGCGTTAGCTAAGTTAAAGCTAGTAAACATGTTAGCAACAGGGCTAAGTTACCAAGCTAACAATAACAATCGACTTAATCAGCTACTCACGTCGATGAGGCTTTTGTCTTCGATGAGTTTTCTTTTCCTTGCGATCTCAGCCTTTAGTATATCCATTTCTGTTAAGTAATGGTGGTCGTAAGTCGTCTATTTTAACAAACAATTAAAAAAGTGGGACTTGTGTAACAACTAACAACGCCACCACATACACGGACCCGGAAGTTGACCTTACAACCGACAAAAACCACTAGATTTCAAAATAAGAGTCCTCCGTTACAAGGTGTTAGATAAATACAAATTAAAACAATTGACCATTAAAGTCACTCTAAAATCGAAGCTAGGATATTTCCGGACCAAGCACTCAAACTTCGGCATACAGTTACTGTGCTGTTATGTAGCCTACAGTGTCCTGTGTTACAAATAATATAGTAAACATTATGGCTTTATTGGCATGTTCTATTATTATACAAATTTGGCAAAGGACTGTTGGAATATTACTCAAGGCATTGTTGGTGTATCTAATCTGGCCTTGCCATTCAGCTATATTGTTGTGCATATTCTAAAACAATATAGGACTAATATGGGCTGCTGGAGCTCCCTTTCCTTCGCTGCAATAATCGTCCACTTGCAAGATGGTACAACATTGCACAAAATAGTCTGTGAGCATTGGTTTCTTCAACGTCCAATCATTTTAAATCTCAGTTTTTGCAAGGTCTGAGACTAAAAATGAAAAACTATTTTTGAAAAAATTATGGAATAAGTAAGACCAACTTAAATGGCATGCATTTGTATACGTGACCTACTGTTTTCTGCCAGTGACTCAGAATGTATTCTGCTGCCTGAAGCGAGGTCATGACAGGAGGGAGGGGAAATGTATTCATTGATGTACAACATATGAATATATAGATATCATCTATGCCCAAAATAATAGGATAGCAATCTAAGTCCTGTCTGGTATCATCTTTAATAAATGCAACATTAGTTTAACAACTTACTCATGAAATCAGTCAAACATTAGAGGTGGTAATTTTTTCATTTACATCTTTTGTAAAATGTAGAAAAATAAGTTGTCAAAATAACAAAAAGGGATCTAATAACATTAATAATGTTTCACTTATTTGAGACTGAGAGTACAAGAAACAAGTTGATGTTTGCATTCTGGTGTCCTTTTTGCTTTTGCTCAAATGCCAGACCATTGTTTGGATACCACAGTGGCAAATGTGTGACTCGACCTTTTAGATGAGAACCATCAGGTGGCGCAAAGGGATATGTGACGAAATTGTAATATTAAAGTAATTAATTTATTTACATGGCGAAAGGGAAGAGCCAGCATCCTTGTTGGGAGCGGGGATATATCAGGCAGGCAGTGGCATTTATCAGTTCCATTTAAGCTTAATAAGATGAAAATGTGCCGATGGCAGGATCTGTAGTGCAGCCTGAGGAGGAATTTAACTGATTAATAAGGCAGACAGACAGAGATTCCGCTGAGTGTATCATCTGATTTTGGTTTTCTGAAGAGCGATTTTCGTCTGCACGACTTACCCAAGACTATATCCCCCCCTGACAATGGAGTTTGGGGAAAGGAAGAGGAGAAGGAAGTCACAGAGCTTTAAACTGGTCACGGATGAAGGTAGGCTGATAAATGAATGCAAGATCTTGCAAGACGCGCGTCTGTGTCTGGCTGTTTGTCTGGCGCTGTTTGCCAGCAGAGACTCTGTCAACAAAAGATATGGCCATGACAATGTCTGTTGTCTCTGCCACGTTAACAGCTAACTCTAACGATTTCATTATTACATGTAAAAACATTTTTTGGCTCAGTCCCACAATAGATTCACTAAAACGTTAATTAAATGAATTGTTAAACACATGTAGCTGCAACATGTTGAGTCCAGCATGTTGGGCATTCTGAATATACAGCAAGCAGCTCAAATTGTTCCCTTTCTGCTGAAGCTATTGCGCTCCAGGCCACCTCTCTTGGCTACACTTCTACATTCTGCCTACAGGTGGTGATTTCTGGTTGTGATGGAGGAGGGGGGGGGGGGGGGGCTGCTTCTGTTGACATCATCAGCCTGCAAAAGCTTAATTATGACATTGCAAATGGCCACAGCATTATTCTGCATCTATCTGTCACACATGGCATATTAAGTTTTCATTTCATTGCAGCAGGCAGTGCCCCTTCAATAATGATGAATTCCAACTGCAAAGATGTCAATGGAGAGTCTAAGGATGCTGCTGTGAATGATGGTATGTACCGTTTTAAGGATTAATTTCTATAATGTATCATGGCAGATCTAAATTCCTACATCTTTCTCTATGCAGTGTGGCGGAAGGATAAAGGAGTGGAAATCAAGAGGCAAATCACAGGAATGATGAGGCTCCTGAGTGATAAGACAGGCAGGGTGTATCAGCGTGTGGTGACGGAGCAGGACAGCTTAACAAAGGAGCCCCAGGATAGGAATCTGACTTGGGCACATCAGCTTGCACCTTCATCTCTTGTATCAGAGGACCACCAGAGCAACAGCTGGAACTCTGCGGGGGACCCAACTCATCCACCTTCATCCATTCCCACCTCCATCATCAACGGTCCAGGCTGTGGGCAGTACAGCACCCGCTCCAAGGCCCTGAGGAGCCTGAACAACACCAAGGATCTGATCAAAACAAATGAAGCTAACGGTAGGGTACCAGAGCAGGTTTGAAGAGTAGAAAAACCAACAATGACATCTTTATACTCAAAGAAAAAATATGCTCATAGAAAAGAGGAGATAGTGTATTGCTGGACACTGCACACATTTTTTATTGTACAGGTACAACAAATTACAGAGGTATTTGTGTGAGAGACAAACACTTTTATTCATTTGTGAAAGCATATTGCACCCGTATGTGTATGCATGTTAGACATTCACTAACCAAATGTCTCTTCAGCAGATGTAATCCCTCCTGCTGCGCCAGAGACCCCCTGCTGTAAGTGTAACTGTAAGGGCACCTTGCAGGCTATTTTGCAGGAAATGCGTGCCATGAGGAGGCTGATGCAGACTCAAAAAGGTCAGTGGATAAACACAAACACTCACACACCGTGGGAAAGTGAGAAAGAAAAATTAAATATGTTACCGTCTTTTTCTAGGATCCTTGGAAAGACAGGAAGAGGCAGCATCACCATGCCAACCTCGTCTGGTACCAGGCCCTGCTCCTCGCTGTAGGCCGCGCAAGAGAAGGCCAATCTATAAAGTGGCACCACTTACTGTGTCTAGTACTAGGAGAGCGGCTCTTGCCCCTCTCGAGGCTTCACCACTTATAGCTGCACCTGCAGAATCTGGAAAGAGGGAGGAATGTGAGAAAGAGCAAGGCTCATCTACACCAAACAGCCATCCCACATCCTCTGCTCTTTCTGTGCTGCCACCTCAAAACAACCCAGTTATTGTCAACAACAGACACAATACTCTCCTGAACAAACTCAGGGAGCCTCATGTGTTAGAGGTAATATTTACGTTAGCATAATTGAATGCACTTGTTTTCTGAGCCTCAATAGTATCTCTTGTTTACTGCACTCCCACAGAAAAGCCACTCTGAATGCCCCGATAATGCACTAGGTGTGGTCTTTATACTATGTGTTACCAAAATCAAATTTTTTTTTACCTCAACCTCAACTAGAATTGGCATGTGGAAATACAAGTGTTGAATTTATACAACTACATAATGCTGCCTTAAAGTTTTTCCGTATTATTTAGAAAGCTAATGCAATTGTTTGTTTAATATTAATTTGTTTCCAAGGTTGACCTTTGTGTTCCAAGACCTTTTTGGATTCCAAATGATATTTTTTGGAATGTATAAGATGTTTATTTGCTCCAAACATCCTTATGTTTGGAGAAAACTTAATTGTATTGCCCTCAGTTTGTGAGTTCTCTATTTTTCTTCCAATACTAGATTTGTCTTATGTTTGTCTTAATTTTCCCATAATACTTCACAGTTCACAGTAAGTGTTATTTGATTCTTTTAGTCTGAGGTGCGTCTTGCGGAGGATTATGACGTGTATATCTCAAAGGCTCAGCTTGACTCCATTCTGGTCAACTATACACGCTCTGGCAGCCTGCTGTTCCGGAAACTGGTTTGCATCAATATGTTTTTAAGAGCCAATTCACTGCCCTTTTATTGTTATCAGCTTTGCAGTCACTAGATACTTACATTAGATTTTGAACAGCAACAACAAATATCTTATAATTGACTTTACTAATGAGCTATAAGATCACAAAAGGCTCAACAGTGTTCTAACATGGAGCTTTGTGTTCAGGTGTGTGCCTTCTTTGACGATACTACGTTGGCTAACTCCTTGCCAAATGGTAAAAGGAAGAGAGGGCTCAATGATAACCGTAAGGGCTTGGACCAGAACATTGTGGGTGCCATTAAAGGTGAGAAACAAAATAATTAATCAGTCTTGTTTAACCAGTGCACAACAATAGTGATACATTGAAATATGAATAAAACATTCACACAGATCTGTAAACTCTGTCCAGTGTTTACAGAGAAATACTGCACAGAACACAGAATAGAAAAGTTGCCCGGTCCACGAGACTGGGTTCAGATCCTTCAAGATCAGATCAAACTTGCCAGGAGGAGGCTGAAGAGAGGTACAGTTAAGCATGCAGCTAAATTCATAAATTATTATAGGTTAATTACAAAATGACCACTGACAGACGAGGCCTTGTTCGAATGTTTGAGGTTAATCTTGTTTATCCTTTGCCTATTCAGATGCAGCAGAAGCAGAAGAAATCTTAAATGGATCTTCCACATGTATGAACCTAAAAATGAAATATTCACACACACACACGCAAACAGTGCACAGACCTTTTATATGTAGGATATCACAACATTTCCATCTGCCCTGAGCAATCAGTATTCTTACCTCTCCCCACTTCACTTTCCACTGAAAACACACACACACACACTTGTGTTGCTGGCTTGCCTATTGTCACGATGTTGCTGTGACATTATTCTCACCTGGTTTCCCAAAATGGCAGCTAAATACTTTGACACCATGCACCTTATCCCCTTTTTCACCTTATTATATCTATGCCACAATAGCATTTATCTTTCTGCTGACTTTCAGACCAATACAAAATCCCTCAAATGCAAATTCAAGCTTTTGCTGTGTTGATACTTTATATATTGAACATTATTTTCTTCCTTCTTTTATAGGCTGTGACTATAACAAGCCCGCAAGTGTTGAGGGGCCAGTGGTGGACATGACTGGTTGATGTAAGGGCTGCCACAATGGCCTTACAGAAGATTTGTTGAATGTCTTTATTACTTCTCTACCTTGATGCATTTTGCAACTTTAGATATTTTCTTTGCAACTGCTGTATGTTATGGATGTAAAGGGAAAAGAGACGAAAGGACCAAAATAACACATGCAAGATTATTTAAAAGGACTCTCCCTCACACACACACACGCACGCGCGCACACACACACACACACACACACACACACACACACACACACACACACACACACACACACACACACACACACACACACACACACACACACACACACACACACACACACACACACACACACACACACACACACACACACACAATCCAGGATTGTGGGCCAATATACACTGAACTATACGATTGTTAAAAAATGTCCTATCATGTTCATGTTTAGAAGTGACTTGATGTTTTCATTATAGGCTACAGCTTTTACGTAGTTCTCATATGTCATTAATAGTAGTCACACGTTTAAAACCAAACGAAGAAGGCCAATTGTAACCGTATAATTAATATGCACAAATTATTTTTTATGGGAAGTTTTCCATTGTGGATTGTGCCTTAAGCGACCAGTACTTCACTTGGTGTTATGTGCAGTGAAGTGTCAACATTAATTACAAACATACATCCAAAGATATATGTAATGGGCAATTTTGCAAATAAAAAACAAGTTGGTAAGCTAGAACTGGTTGAAAATATTAAATGTATAATATTATATGAATAGTATTATTTTTTTATTTTCATTATTAGAATGGTTAGGCTATGCATATATATATTGTGCTTGTTGTTAATATTGTAATGAAGTAACAATTGTATTTCATTTTCAATCACTGTGCATATTAAATTAATAGTTGTTTCCAACATTAAATGTTTCCCTGGCCATTTTGTCCTGTTTTCGTTTTTAATATTCTAGAATTAGAAGTAAAAATAACAACAGAAGAAATGAAAAATACCTAATATGACTGAATTTCTTCCTGAAACATCTCAAGTGCTTAAATCAATATGAACATATTGGTTACCAATGTTAAGAAACTGTAACGAAATACAACATACAATTCTATTAAAGATCGTTCATAATGTAAGGTTACAAGCCCCAGCCTTTGCTAAATACCTATATTCCAGCCAGGCAATGTTATGTTGTTCTGGGTGCAATTGGAGGGAAAACAGTAAATTAAAGGTACACTCCATTGTAGAGATTTTGTTGCCAGACTTCCCAGATCATTAAAGGGGATGTTAAAGCCGCCGCTGTTCATGCAGAGGACCCTTTGAGATCTGGTGAGTTTCCTCTCTATATTGTAAACCATATATTGTTTTATAAAGATATACGTGCTCAAAAAAGTATATGAATTCAAATATACTTCATTGTACATGATTACCTATTTTCTTTGTCATCTAGTTGTGAGTAAGAAGAAAACAAATGTCTCACTTTCCGTCAGGCATTCTCCAAGGACGCCCGATTCTGGCCCCAATGCATTCTGGTGCCGTCCCCGCTCTTCTGTCGGGATCCACCGCTAACGTGAAGCTGGTAAGGATAAACTGGACACAGCAATTAAAGGGGAAATGTTGCAAGAATATAACTCCGCTTTGGTCCTAATATCGCATTTAGAGCCATTGTAAACACTTATATTGCAACATATCATTACAAACGTTGCACAGGTTGCATGTTTAGTGCTGTTTTATTGATACGAACACTGATGTTGCACACATCGCATGGCGATGGACAGGAAAGGGTTAATTTTTTCCGCCGCCGACATTTTTATTCGGCGCTCTACGGCAACTTTTCAACTTACATGTGAACGAGCTGGCACTATGTTACACAACTATGTATCACATTTAGTCGTTAGCCTTTACTGTGTGTGTTTTTAAATGCAGTTCAGCTCGCACACTCAGACACTCGGTGTTCTTTGTTGCACAGAGCTGCTCATCACCTCATGCATTGATCAGCCTTTGCAAGCGAAAGCTAGCATGGAAACGGAAACTGCATTTTCAGCAAAACAAACAAGCGTAAAAAGATATAGCTGTCACAATCAGCACATATGTCTTACAGTTCAGCGCCCTGTTGCTAATAATATGGCATTCGTTTCACCGAGTATTGTAACATTGATCGGCAATGATATTATTATAGTGCCGCAGGGTTGAATGAACTTAGCAGCATTTTGTCTCTTGAACACTCCCACTGTGTACAAACCGAGGCCCCTTACAGCAGGTTAAACAACCACCGGGGTTATAATTAACCAATAACCCTGTCAGGTGGCTGAGCTTGAACTATTTTCATGTTATTCTGGGTAATTCAAGCATTTATTTGTATTTCACTGTACAAATGTGAATCTGTGAGCACGCTCATTGTGGAGTTTTAAAATGTTATTTCGTACAAAACTGACGAATTCAATGTTTTTCCATTGATTTGTCTGTCAACATCAATGTAATTTTACCCCAAACATAGATGTGTCTGGGTAATGTTATTCAGTTCAATACAATAGACTTACAATATAATTGTTTGTAGTTGTAACTAAGGTGTAACTTGGAGTTATTAAATGTTAATTTGGCTTTGCCGTTATTTATGACTGGGACAAATGTATCCGCAGGGATTTTGTTAACTGTTTACATTATTATCAGCTACTCAATTGTGAGAATGTGCTGCTTTTCTTTGTATTCTAGAATTAAAAACTGAATATATTTTATGTTTTTGACTGTTTGTCAAAGAGATGCACAATATTGGATTCATGCCGATATTGTTCAACTCATTTTGGCCGATGGCTATCCATGCATGTATTTCCCACTAGCAGATGTAGACAAAATATTATGCGTTTAAAAATGTATATGTCCAGTGGCCATGAAATACTTTAATTTAAAATGTTGGTTACTTTTTCCCGACATTTTAAGGAATACAACTGTAAATTGATTAATCAATAATGTAATTGGCAGATTCATCAATATTTAAAATAATTCTTAGATATTCTAGGCGACCCTAAATATGACAGCACTCAGCCCTTTGACTCATAAGGGTAGGATTCATTGCAGTGCTGGAGATTTTCCAGAAGCTTATTGGTCTTTTGTCATATTTCACTCAAAAAGATGCACAAAAGACAACATTTGTTAATAATCTCAGAGGGCATTGCAGTGTGGTGAATGAATTTATATTTCATTTATTTGTTTAATTATACACATTCAACAAGATTTTCTTCTAGCCAATTGCAACATTCAAACAGTGTTTCCTATAATCTATATGTTGTTGTTTTGTCCTGGTCATTGATGTGGTTGTAGTGGTGAAGACCCAGAGCTTCTACAGACATGTCGGTGAGGGAGTCCTTTAACCCGGAGAGCTATGAGCTGGACAAGAACTTCCGGCTCACACGCTTCGCTGAGCTCAAGGGCACAGGCTGCAAGGTTAGCTCTCCTTATGAACATCTGCCTCGGATGCATTACTGTCTTTGTATGATTATCCAACTGAATAAGAACATCTGATTCAACATTGTATGATAACAACATGGTGGTTATTGTCTTTGGTCACAGGTGCCCCAAGATGTTTTACAGAAATTGCTAGAAAACCTACAGGAGAACCACTATCAAGAAGATGAACAGTTCCTGGGGGCAGTTATGCCACGATTAGGTAATAAGGATCTTCATATAGCGCTATAATAACAAACGATTTAAGTTACAAATTGCTTACAATAACATTTTAATCTCTGTTTAAAGACCAGCAGTCAATTTCAAACTAACTGCTCTTTAATCAGGATTTTTTTGGTTCAGAATCAGAACAATATATCACATAGTGAACTCTTTTATTTTTCAAGGCATAGGCATGGACACCTGTGTGATCCCCCTCAGACATGGTGGCCTTTCCCTGGTCCAAACAACAGATTACATCTACCCCATTGTGGATGACCCCTACATGATGGTATGGATCTCTTCTTTTATGGATATTACTAATGCCATTGTGGTATTATTAAATATACACCTATGTGACAAACTGAAAGATGCCACTGTTATATTTCTGTGTCTGTCTACTTTTATACGCTGTGCTGGAGGCCTACTTTACACAAAAACCCTAGATGTGCTTCATTATTATTATTTCTATTTTGTAGGGAAGAATTGCCTGTGCCAATGTTCTAAGTGACCTGTATGCCATGGGAGTGACAGAGTGTGACAACATGTTGATGCTTCTGGGGGTCAGCAACAAAATGTCAGAGAAGGTAAGAAGCATCTCCGTTAATGCATTCACTTTTGGATCTAGTTTCTGGTCAATAACTGTGAAGAACCAATTGTGTAATAGTAGATAAAACGCAATACCACTTATACAACATGTTATTACAGTAAACTGTTAATTTATAACATGTTTCAATATATAATTACATTTTTTTCCAATGTGCTCCCTGTCTGTGCTCTGAATTTATTTTCTTGTCTTTACAGGAGAGAGACAAAGTCATGCCGCTGGTCATCCAGGGCTTTAAGGATGCATCAGAGGAGGCGGGCACATCAGTAACAGGAGGACAGACGGTGCTCAACCCCTGGGTGGTGTTGGGAGGAGTTGCAACAACAGTCTGCCAACCCAACGAATTCATCATGTAGGATTTGAGTTGCTACTACATATATTTTCTTATTTATGTATAATGCATAATTTAGTTGTAATGTATATATTTGATTTTCTCAGGCCAGACAATGCAGTGCCAGGAGACGTGTTGGTGTTGACCAAGCCACTCGGAACACAAGTGGCGGTTGCAGTACACCAGTGGCTAGATATTGTAAGTCAAAATGCTCAATCATGAATCACTTTTGCTGTACAATTCTTGTTTTTAGCATGCAAACCAACGCAATTGACGTTTTTCTTTTTAACTCTCAGCCTGAAAAGTGGAACAAGATCAAGCTGGTGGTAACCCAGGAGGATGTAGAGCTGGCCTACCATGAAGCCATGATGAACATGGCTCGGCTCAACAGGACAGGTAAAACCTCTAAGAATGTGTCCACATTTTTGAATTGCTGTAATACTCTCCTTTTTTATTTATTTAAATGAATCATTATTTTTCTGTTAATTATTTAGTTAAGCTGGGCCTCAGTAGCGTAGGCAGATATGGGCCAAACATACTTAATATGTCCTAAAACGCATGTTAACTGAAATAAGCCACCATTAAGCCAACTATACTTGCCTGATTGCAAAAAAGTTTATTCAGACGAGCCGCATATTAGAAGTCATGTTACAGGCACACAACACCAGCACAGTATAACATGGCACGGCTGCACAAACACACAGCTGCTAACAGCATCAACAATAAAGCATGGATACACAGAGCGGTACCGACATTCTCATTCCCGTTTATTACTAAATAAATCTAGCAGTAGGCTACTGGAACGGCGGCCACATAAACACACACATTAGCCGCGTTCACACCGGAGTACTTTTCACGTACTTTTCGCGTTTAGTTCCGTTAGTACCCCATATGTCGCGTTCACACCAAAAAGAGCACTTAATCTTGGGAACTTTTACCCCCATTTTTAGTGCCTGCTGAGAGATGGTACTTTCCTGGGGGAAAAAAGTGCCCCAGTTCTGATTGGCTGGGCGAATTGCAAACCACGCCCCGTACAACTCTGAAATGTTTTGTAGAGCCGCCATTTTATTATCCTGGCATTAGCATTATTAGCATTAGCATTCGCCCAGTGCACAAACGCAGAGAGACTAACTTATGGCAACACAAAATAAAACATGGGAGCGCTGGAGCGTTATTTATGACTCTGGGACAAATGTATCCGTAGGGATTTTGTTAACTGTTTACATTATTATCAGCTACTCAATTGTGAGAATGTGCTGCTTTTCTTTGTATTCTAGAATTAAAAAAACTGAATATATTTTATGTTTTTGACTGTTTGTCAAAGAGATGCACAATATTGGATTCATGCCGATATTGTTCAACTCATTTTGGCCGATGGCTATCCATGCATGTTTTTCCCACTAGCAGATGTAGACAAAATATTATGCGTTTAAAAATGTATATGTCCAGTGGCCATGAAATACTTTAATTTAAAATGTTGGTTACTTTTTTCCGACATTTTAAGGAATACAACTGTAAATTGATTAATCAATAATGTAATTGGCAGATTCATCAATATTTAAAATAATTCTTAGATATTCTAGGCGACCCTAAATATGACAGCACTCAGCCCTTTGACTCATAAGGGTAGGATTCATTGCAGTGCTGGAGATTTTCCAGAAGCTTATTGGTCTTTTGTCATATTTCACTCAAAAAGATGCACAAAAGACAACATTTGTTAATAATCTCAGAGGGCATTGCAGTGTGGTGAATGAATTTATATTTCATTTATTTGTTTAATTATACACATTCAACAAGATTTTCTTCTAGCCAATTGCAACATTCAAACTTTTCGCGTTTAGTTCCGTTAGTTGGGAGCGCTGGAGATGAGGAGGTGTCGGTGTTCCGGCGATTTACTCGGAAGGCTTCAGTAGAAGCTGCTGGGAGTCCCAGCAGCTTCTACTGAAGCCAGTCCCCAACTCCGCGGACTTCCGGCCGGGGACTCCGGGTGGCAGTATACGCCGTGAAGTTGTTTGCGGCCTGCCAGTAAACCCAAAGCAGAAGAAGAAGAAGTGACGTCAGCTGCTCATTTGCGTAATCTTCCCTCAGGGAAAAGTACTCCGGTGTGAACGCGATCTGTACTAAATGCCCTGGGGTAATAAGTGCCGGGGCACTGAGTGCCGGCACTAAATACGGCAAAGTACTTGGTGTGAACGCGCCTATTGCGTAAAGTCCAATTGCAAAACCATCAAAAACAATAACTACCAAATTTACATTTTACCTGTAATTAATAATGAAATATACTATTACAGTCCAAATACCTTTGATGGTCAAGGCAGGAGTCGACAGGGCTTAATGTTGAACACTGAAATAATGTCCATTTTGTCAAGCTAGTTTACCAAAAGGCTACTGATTCCGGACAACAATGCATAGCGCATGTTTACTGGATGAAATCGGAGCGCCCACCCATAGCTACGTGTATGGCCTCACTACTACATCAGCTGTGTGTCATATAAAAAAAGTGAATTAGGGACCTTCTTTGTGAACAGCACTATCCTCTGCAGTAACTGCTGTATTGCACCGACTGTGGCTAAGAAGTCTTTTCTAAAAAAACCAAAAGAAAAAAAAACATTATTGGATCACCTATTCATGGTTACAACACATGCAATATATACTATATATATATATATATAGTATATATTGCATGTGTTATTTATATATATAAATAATGGTTATTTGTTTTCTTTCAAAACAACACACATTTGGCCAGTCTTTGGCATAACACAATAGTTAATGTTTCTTCGTCACACTCACTAATCTTCAATAACGAAAACGGAGTTGTGCATCCCCCTAATATCAACCAACAAATCAAATTAATTCATCAAAATGCCATCTATCTCTCTTTTCTCTTTGTAGCGGCTGGTCTCATGCACACCTTCAACGCTCACGCCGCCACCGACATCACAGGGTTTGGCATCCTTGGCCACGCTCAGACGTTGGCACGGCAACAACGAAGTGAAGTGTCATTTGTCATCCACAACCTCCCGGTGCTTGCCAAGATGGCCGCAGTGTCCAAAGCCTGTGGGAACATGTTTGGACTCATGCATGGCACCTGCCCTGAAACATCTGGTATGTGTCTTAACCGTTTTTACATTTTGCCTCACAAAGGGCTTCACAGGACGCACCAACATATCAAAACATCAATATAAGACTGATGCATATTCACAATTTTCTACGGTCATAATTTGCTAAGGCAGTCTAAAAAGATGAGATTGACTAACTTTTACAACATGGAGAGAGACAACAGGCCATGATATAAAAAATAAATCCATAAATATTTCAAGCAGAAAGAAGCAGAAATGTCATAGTAATTGTATGTTGAAGTTGGACTGAAGGTAATTTGTAAGCTATACTTACTTTGGTTTTTGTTTAAGGGAAAGGAAGAACTGAGTGGCCTGGAAATGGTTTAAAAATGAACACCTATTTTTGAAACATTTGTAAAACAACAACATTCATTGTTTTAAGCTACTTTTGTCGCAGTAAGATTACAGTAATTCTGGTATACAATATGTTCAAGTGGGATCTAGTGAAAGTAAAACAAGCCTGGACTGAGAATTGAGCCTTGAGGCCACAAAGAGGAGCCCAAAAAGATGATCAAATCTCTTAATCACAACATTCAGAAACATAGGATAAGACTCTCACACTCACGAGCATCAATACACATTGAAATTTCTATCGGAGACCCTTGTGACTGAAACAATCTCGTTCCTTTATAGGAGGCCTGCTCATCTGTCTACCTCGAGAACAGGCTGCTCGTTTCTGTGCCGAGATCAAATCCCCAAAATACGGCGAGGGCCACCAAGCGTGGATCATAGGAATTGTAGAGAAAGGAAATCGCACTGCTCGCATCATTGACAAGCCACGGATCATAGAGGTGGCCCCACAAGCAGCCACGCAGAATGTCAACCCGACTCCTGGAGCAACTTCGTAATCCTCCTGTGCTGCATCATAGACCTGAACCGCTGAGTGTTTTTAGACACGCAAACTACAAAACCATCCTAGAGTGTTTAAATATATACACAAAATAGTATGTACACAGAAAAGACTGGGTTGGTGTGCGTCTACATGAAAAACAGCCCCACACAGTGGCCAATGGGGCATGTCATCACCCAGTGGACTCAACCTGCAGTATCCCCATGCTAAACATACGTAAGATTAGAGCATACTTAAAAATCCATTTGCCTTTTGTGTCTGTTGCATTCTGTTTTGTTAAATGTGTGTGATTGGCAGGCAGCCTCTGATAAGAGAATGATGTTGATGAAGACAATGATGTGATACAGATTCATTTTGAAGCCTAGGAAGTCTGGTGTTTGTTGCCTCTTTGGGTCTTTAAAGTTGCTCTCATCATACAAGCGGACTGTGGGATGGTGGTTTTTTTTTGTCCATTCACTTTGTACAGTTATAAAGCCTAGTTTTACTTCATTGCTGTAACTGATGCCTTGAAAGAAACGGAGTGTGACCAGAATGGTTTGTTTTTTATTACTTTGACTTTTTGTATTGTCCCCACCTAAACTAATAAATATTCAAATAGAAGATGGTTTGTTTTTGCCTGCTCTAAGGGCTGCCCTCATGACTTTCACATTTATGACCTGAAAGTCATACATGTGAAGAAATCTGCATACCCCTCAGGAGATTAAGCTTTCACCATATGTATAACCAAAATGTCATGGTGTATAGAGTTGCAATATGTTTTCACACACTTATAAAACTGTAAAAGTCAGTCTTACTGTGAGTGTGTTGCCTTTTTTCAAGATCTGGTGCATTTAGTTTTGCTTGCTTTAAGTTGTGGTGAGCAATCTGATTTACTGTCATGAAGCTCCCAGCTGATCGAAGTCCAGATCTATTTAGTTTCTCCGAAATAGCCTGGATGAATCTGGAAGACCCCTGTAAATGTTCATATGGATACCAGGGGAAACATTGACCCCAATCACACCTCTTAAAATAAACTTCTCTTATAGATTAATTTGAGTGATTTGCTTTTCTACCTTTTGATTGCACCAACACCTCTGAAGTTGAGCTACTACAGTATATGTGACAGATGTATAATGATCTTTAATACTTTAATCAAAGATTACAACTGAAAATTAACAGCAATTCATAAATACTGATATTAAATTATTTATAGTAATACATTCCTTTTAGCAGATATATTTAAAAGTGTAATATGCACAAACAAGAGACTATACAATAAGTGTATTTATACTTCGATTTATTAAATAACATGAGCTTTATATACAGATTTTGGCATAAACTGACAAAAGGGAGTGAGGACCAATCATTGCAAAACAATTCCAATATTAAGGATAAAATATTTCAATAAGTTAGTGAAGTAAAAACTATTCATTTAGTCTGACTTAGTGCAATGACCAGCTCCTGTGTGACCCACCAGGAAAGCAAAAACATCATAAAGGCAACCCATCACTACATTTTGTTTTGTTTCTTTGAATGAAGAATGGAAGAGGTTGTATGCCTCTTTACAGAGTCTGTTATTTATGCTTTTTCCCATTTTCCATCTGTATTTGCTTTGCCTGCTCCACCATCTTCTTATCATTTTCTGACTTGAAAAGTGCTTGGATGTCCAGCATGGCCTTGCCAATATGCTGACCAAACCGGAATGAGTCCTGCAGGCGATCACAGAGAGAGACAGAGGGAGAGAAAGATGGTATAAATGACAGACAGATGGATCTATAATATGCATCGCTATATTTGTCTGCTCTTACTGTGTCAGGGCTGGAGAATTTGCTGGAGATGTGGAATGTGATCAGGTTTTCCCCAACAATTATATAAGATACACCATACCCGTCATCGGCCACCTGGTGGAAGACAATATATGTTGTTATATTACATTACATTACATTACATTTGGCAGACGCTTTTATCCAAAGCAATAAGTGCATTCAACCAGGAGGGTACAGAGTAACAAGAATCATGTAGGTACATTAGTTTGAACTATGCCAAACCATTCGAAGTGCTAGTACATTAGCTTCAACAAAGCCAAACCATTTAAATATTACTGCACAAACTGCTGCAGTACTTAGACGGCTAGGTGAAAACATTAGCACATGTTAATCTTTACAACATAACAATAAAAACTCACAGGGCCAAATCCACCACCGGCACCCACATATTTAGGGAACTTGTTGATGTCGACTAAATTGAGCTGCTGTTGTGGAGTCTGGCTAGTAGACAACTTCCAGGGCTCTGAAAGCACCTAGGAGAAAATACACAATATGCTACAGCAGTTAAAAAAAGGAGAATAATTGTGATAGGTAGGTTGAATGAAAAATCGTCGAGAAACTAATAAAATGATAGGGATGATAACAGTTCTAACCTTGGTAAGGAATGGCGAGTCGATACCAAGGTATTTGGACACTATGTAGAGACAGAAGAGATGACGGTCGATGCCAGAGCCAGTCATGGCCAGACGATACATGTTTTGATGCTTATCTGCTGCTTTCCGAAAAAGAGCAAGTCTCTGGGCATTCTGATCACAAAAGCAAAAAGGCACAAAATAGTCAGACCTGTACATTGAGGTAAGATCACAATCAAATCAAATCAAATCAAATCAGGTTTTATTTATATAGCACATTTAAAAGCGATTTTTGGTCGAGCCAAAGTGCTGTACATGTAATAAAAACACATTACTACAAATCACAATAAACGACAATAAATTACAACAGATATATCTTAAAAACAAAATAAAAATAAAACACACGGAAAAGTCAGGAGTCGTGCTCCGCTCTAACTAGAAAGCCAGAGAGAAGAAGTGTGTTTTTAGTTTAGATTTAAAAACCCCTAGGGTCTGGGCCGACCTCACATGACCTTATTTCTATTGATGCAGGTGTTAAGATAACCCTGGCAGAGTATCAGTGAATTCAGTCCAGGGCACCCACACCCAGAGACACATTGCCTCTGGGTCCAGGTGACCCAGGTCCTTAGCAGCACAAAGTGACACCTCACAGCATGCCCTTTCAAATTGTGTCCACACCAAGTCGCTGATTGCGAATTTGGAAGCCTTATAAACACATATGGCACCAGATATGTCCAAAGTCTAATTATTTGCTTTTTTTTTAAAGTGTTAACTGCACTATAGGATTTATTTTCTTAATTCCTGCTGGTCATTTCTATGAATCCACTACTTACATATACATATTGTTGTTCCCACAGAATCTAACTCAACAGATCCTTTTGGTTTCAAGTGGTTTGTTCCTAATGAAATGTTTCTGTGTTTAATGCTTACCGTTGCACCTGCATCCTCCATGGCTCTGACAAAGGCAACAGCTTCAGAAGTGCAGGAGCGAACCGTCTCTGTCCGACCGTCTCTGAACATACGAGTCATTGATGACTCGTACGTCAGACAGAACACTCTCTGGTCCTAAACAGAAGATGGATTAAAGACATTTAGTGACGGATCGAACTTTCAAAGACAAAAGTGAGCAATGATGATTTTATAATGGCGACGGCAGCCATACCCTGAACTGTGCCAGCTGCAAGGCCAGCTGTATAAAGGCATCAGGGCTGCACCTGCACTTCTTGATCAGTCCTTTTCCAAACTCAGTAAACAGATAGCCATGAAAGTCCACGTCATCAGCTATCTGCTTGGCTGACAGGTATGACGTCTCAATGGCATCTTGGCACTAAGAGAGGGTAGACTGATAAAAACACAGCTAATGCAGCAAACACATGCAAATTAAACAGGTCAATGCTAATAAAATATTAAGAGCTCTGTTTTACCTCCTTTGGAATCTGCCACTGAAGTCGAGTGGGATTTGGCAGGCCTTTGTTCACATCCCCTTTACAGTGTCCCTCCTCTGTGTAGCCAAGATGGAAGCAGTCTGTTGCAAGGACATACTACACAGACAGGAAATGGTGAATGGAGATACCTACTAACTTTGAATACTTTTTAAAAACAGTTCCAGCAGACATTATACCTCCCACATATGTCCAACAATTGGTGCATCGGCCCAAGAATGTTCAGCATTTATGCCCATTTTTCCATTTGGATACGAGATTAAGGTGAAGGACTTGTCAAACCACCTGCGAAGAAAAACATTTTTTAGGGAAACAAAAGCACTACAATCTAATAGCAGAGGCCTTCAACTGACTTGTCTGCCTACCTGTCATAGCATTTTCCATGAAGCAGCGATTTGGCGTAACTGTCAAGCGATTTGGTCTTTGTAGGGTCATAACCCTGCGCCTCGTCATCTAGCGTCAGGAAGAAGGCAGCGGACTCAATGGCGTCCAGGGAAGCTTTGTTTCCTCCCTGGCTGAAATATTTATTCCGAGCCCGAGCCCATGGAACTCTATTGGGGAATGTCAGAGTAAGAGTCTCATTTTGTGTGTTAATAATACACTTTATTTGTATATTACCTCTCATGCTTGACACAGCCCAAAGTGCTTTACAGAGTATGACAGAAAAATGACAATAACAAATGAGGAACATAATTAAAATATGTAACAACAATAAAATATGAACAGTGATACTATTACAAATTATAAGCCAAATTAAAAAGATAGGTCTTTAATTTACTTTTTTCTAATTGAGGTTCTATTAGTTCTAAGATCAAATGGGAACAGAAAGCAGCCTCCCCAGTTTTCTTGTAATCAGAATCAGAATCAGAATACCTTTATTACAGAGGGGAAATGTACGTTGTTACAGCAGAAAAAGAGCCACAGACAGCTTAATGTTACATATGTTACATATGTTACATGCATTAAAAAGTACTAAGTTAAACAAATATATAATACAAAAAAAATGTAATGCACTCTAGGTACTTTTCAAAGTGAAACATTGGAGGATCTGAGTGTCCTTGCAGGTTGATAAAATGAGAGACAGTCACTTAATGAGCATGTGTCCTGAGCATGTGTGTCTGTGTGATTTTATACCTGTTCCCTGCAGTTAGGGCTGCTAATTTGAGTTCTCCTGGCAGAGGTTCTGAAGTATCATTGAGGATCCTTAGAAACTGTGTCTCAAGTTCACTGGGTAAGAGGTGGCGCCCTCCAGTGTACAGCCACACTTGGAAGAAACGGCCCTTGTGGTAGACAACCAGGTGCTTACGGTCAGTCAGGTGCTGCACAATATCTGAGGGAAGGGCCAACAAGAAGAGGAGGATGTGAGGACACCAAGGGGAACAGTAAGGGGGGAAGTTGCAGATAGCATAAGATTGATAGATGTTTTCTTACAGTAGTTGTTAGAGGGTAAATCAGACTAGACTTGTGGCTGAAACTTTTGAGCCAGTCACACTTATGTTCATACCTCAGTTCTTAATGACAAAGCAGGTATTTAACTTGCTGATGGAAAACATGCTCATACATCAAGTTTCAACCCAGTTTTGCCCCTATGATTTTGAGTGTTGATGGTGAATGTTGAGTATTGTATTTGTCCTTTAAACTGTACAGGCCTGACCAGTTATTTACCTGTTTCTATCCCAGGGATGCGGGTGGTGTTAAATATCCTTTCCATCTGAGTGGAACACATAGGGACGGTCCCTAAAGCCCTCAGCTAAGGAAAAAAGGGATAATGAAATCATCACAGGTTTACTGTTTTACCATAGGTGGTTTCAATTAGGTTAGATTGATGGCAGAAGAAGTAAAAGTCATGGCAAACCTTACCGGTGCATGTTCACCACGTTCCAGTTTGCGTCTGTATTGCAGCATGGCATGAACCACATTCCCCGCTCGAGCAGCCTGTCGATGTGTTGGGTTCACGTACAATAGGTCCTAATGCATTCAGCACAAAGACAAAGCACAAATATAAATCACAAAAACAGACATTTACTCCAAACATTGCAATCTGTTATATTATGATTTATAATAATAATGGCACAAACAGATATCAGGTCCTCAAGCTGAAACACATTTGTTGTTGTTCCTATAATAAAATATATGTGTATATATATATATATATATATATATATATATATATATATATATATATATATATATATATATATATATATATATATATATATATTTGTATACATATTTTTATATATCTTTGTTATTGTATTCGGGATTGTGGGAAACGGTATTTCGATCTCTCTGTCTGTACACACAAACTGAAAGATTGACAATAAAGTTGACTTTCACTTTGACTTCAATAGGCCCTACCTTTGAGGGTTTTTGAAGTACCTTGCCACTACTGTTTTCAGAATGCACACTGCTACTTCCACATTATGATGATGATGATGATGATGAGACAATAACCTTACTAATGCATTGCACTGGTATAACAGACTGAGACTCTTACCATTATATAGAAGTTACTGTTCACCATGATAGGACTCCTGCCTCTGAGGTAAATGTACTCCTCCCACCAGTCACTGACCTATAAAAGATGACACTTTATTAATCTATATCAATATGATTTAGTTGATTTTAGTAACACTGTTGTTTCATTTTAAATACTACTCACATAATTTGTCTCCCACCAGGATTTGAGGATGAGGTATCTCTGTAGCTGGGCTGCTAAGGAATCTTTAAAGTCATTGGCCAACGTCTCCATCTGGTTGTACTGCTCACTGTCCAGCAGAGAGCGAACTGATTCCAGGTACTGTGGGAAAGCATGGGGGGTGTTACCAGGACATAAGAGCAGTGATGTGTGGAAACACAGCTGAAATGGAGCAGCTCAAATACACATACATAATATCTGAAAGACATCTACATGTGCAGGAAGCTGCATTAATCAAAGTGTTGCAAAAGGCTTCATTGGGTTGGTTTAGGTTATGAGCTAGATAGGTTTAAATGTAGGTTATGTGCTTAGTCAAAATGTTACTTAGAAATGTGATATTTGGTGTGAGGTTATCAAGGGTGACATGGCAAATGGTGATGTTAGATATCACTTAATGACATTCATTTATTGTGTCCATGTTATCCATTTCAAGAAGCCACATGTGTGTTTGTGGTTATGTGTGGTTTGTAATGTGTAATTTCCCACCCTGTGAATTGTATCATCCACACTGGGCACAGGGAGCCTGGGTAAGGAGGCCTGGAAACTGTAGAGCAGCGGCCTGCGCCCAGAGAACATCTTCACCAGGCTCTGATAACAGACAAACAACATCATACATATACTTTGTGTAAAAGATGACCCTCTGTAACAGCAACATATAACAACAATAAACTATAGACTCTGCACTCATTAAGGAAAACAAAGCTTTATGGTGTACTGGTACCCTGACAATTTAAAGTGAAAGACATCAAAACAAACATACCAGCCACATTTTAGTAGATTTGCTCATTCTTCCATGGGATTCAAAAATCCATCCATGGTAGGAGAGTAGAGCTTTGAGAGTGTATCTCAGGAGGTAGATGAGGAACAGCCACAGTCCAGTGGCAAACAGGATGGCACTCAGCACCGCTCGGGTCTGCACCGACATACAATGTCTGCTCGGAAAAGGAACAACACTCCCTTTTGTTAGTACATTAAGGTATGAAATCGAACTGTAAAATGAAAATATTACTTTGTTTACGAGTAGCCGATTCACTGCAGAGCTCATCTAAGAAAACCTCCAGGTGCATTAGAGTTCTTTAATGCTGAACACTTAAGAAGAAAAGGAAGAAGAAGAAGAATACTGGCTGAAGGAGATTTCTGACCTGTGTGGTAGGTTTTCCTTGAGGGCGTCAATCATCCCCAGAGAGGGGTCGAAGGGGATGTACAAGGAGCTCAACATGGCGATGACAACTATCAGCCAACTGGAAGGACTGGCAGGATAGACGCCAGCCAAAACACCATTCTGTGAAAGAAAAGCAACAAGATTTGATATCAGCACAATATTCATTTTGATCTCCTATGTTCTGTTCAGAAGATTAATGAAGGAGTGAAAATGCAAATCTATTCGAAATGCATTCAGAGGATTTTAATGCTACACTCTAAAGTCTGTTTGTTATTTAGTGACTCCACATTTTTTAACACTGATAATCAAAGGTGTGAATATACCTTGAATTGAATGGCTCGCTTTTTCCATGCGGTCACTCCAGACAAGTAGATGTTTTTGATGACCTCTTTACTCAGTTTAAGGTCCAGACCATCCGGGCGCACAGTGAACTGGAAACCCACCGCCTGATGGGCCTCAGCCATCTCTGAATAGAAGCGACTAAAATGGAAATCAGAAGGAAGCTTTTTATGTCATCTGGATTCAAACTGGTAAAAATAAGCAACAATGATAAGGACTATAAAGTTCAGTGGTACGTTTGATCACTTCATCCCTTCTGTTAAAAGCTGTTTACCTTATCCATATGGTTCAAATTAAAATGCATGCATTATCAATACGTATGGACTCTCCCAAGATGTCAATATCCTTAATCCATATTTTCTACTATTTTAGATCGCTGAATATCGATTCCCTGTGGATAAAGATTCTGCAGCAAAGATCCTAATCTCTATTGAGTTATTCATCAATTTTACAATCCTTTGGAATTTCCTTTAATGTTATTATTAAGTTGTTTGTTTAACTAATTACAACATCAAGGGTAACATAAAACTGGTAGACTCCAACATAACTGTAAAGTTATGTTCATGTCTTTTAAATGGAATGCCCTTGTTTAATTATGAACACAAATATGTGGATTTCATAAAGCACTTATTTTAATGGCCAGTATGACTAGGATTTATTTTTCCATGTCATGCGACTAAACAGTCACCAAGTGGGACAAAGTTCAATGGCCAGATATAGCAGTACTCTCCGGCTGAGCATGCGCAACACCTCAGATGGGTATGAAAATATAAACACTGAGTACCTCCAACAGATGAATGCTAAACCCTTTAGTATTACAGAACACTGTGAAAATATATGAGAACATGTGGAGGTCAGCATTCATTTGTACTGTTTAACAAATGAAAATGAGTGAACATGCAATTGTCAGCACTTGACTTCCCCATCATGAGTTTCACCTGTCTGTTGTTTTACAGACATCGTTTATACAGATTAAAAAAAGAAAACACAATATTTAACTGATTCAGTATTTTCATCCCTTTTATAATTGTATGGAATTTAACCATGGAGTTTATGAAATCAAATAGGAAAACCTAAACAGTTAATACAACTAACTGCATGGCTAACTAAATAAGTATTATAACTAAAGACTCATACTTTACCTATGTCAGAACAGTGAGTATAATAATCCAGATGAAAGCTGGGACCTTGGTTTGCGTCAGTGGGCAGTGAAATTCCTCTGTACTCTTGTGTGCTCTGTGTGACTCCAGTGCCCTTCATTCAGCTTTCCTCAGGTAGTGAGATCAGAGCTGCAGTCTCCTGTACTTTCCTGTACTTTCCTGCCCTCCCTCTCTCCCTCTCTCCCCCAACACCACACTCTCTCTCCCCCTCTCTGCCTGTTCCTCTCTCTCACATGTTTCTTTTTGTAACAAGACACCAAACATATAGAGCCTAACCTCATGTGACTTGAGCTCTGTAACTGAATCTGCTGCAGTGAGAGCAATGCGATGTTTCCTTTCAACGGCTGAAAGTGCAACCAGTGGGCCTATTTAGCTGTTATAATAAAAATATGTGTAATAGGAATAACGGCATACACATCTCAGATTATTATCAGCAGATTCAAGCATTGTGATCTTGCCTCTGTGAAATGGAATTTAGTGCTTTTAATTGAGACGAGAATAGAGAAATGCATGTATTGTCTTGATTTTTGTCTGACATTTTTACAAACCAGTTTGGTCCTACCGTTACAACTTCAAATACTAATAAATACTCTAATATTAGACTGGGTCGGGGTTTTCAGCATACCTATTTTGGTTCTTATTCTTAAATAACCTTTATAAACCAATACAAAACATTATTTCAATTTCACAAACAAGGGAGAACAGCAGAGACTTTATATATAAAGAACACACATGTACACATAGAGCACTCCATTTTCTTTAAAATTAAGTAATTATTATTATTATTATTATTATACAGTGATTTAGGTAAACGTTTAACAGTAATATACCCTTACTAGTTAACTTTAAACTGCAGGATGGAGATTTTAGAGAGAAGATAAAACAGATAATGGTTATCCATCTACTGTAGGCCTAGGGAGATTATCTCTTTATGCTTTATATTCACAAAATATGTGCAGAAAGTCTAAAAAAAAAAAGTTAACATTAAAAGTGAAGATAAAAGACAGATTCGTAGCGGGTGGAAATGGGTAGAGGAGTAAAAACGCTGAGGGAGAGAGTTTTGAAGATCCAACCTTGCAACAGCGTTGTGCTCTATACTTGGCAGGAGGACCTGGTCCCCTACAACTGTCCCCTGTCCTGCAAATGCAACTTTCTCCGCCCTGTGCACCTAAAAGAAAAAAAAGATAACAGTAAAATGTAAGGCATCAATATGAAAGAAGTCTTTGTATTTCACATACACATTAGTGATGTGAGGAAGTATATCTTTTGTACCTGGCCCCATCTCTTTGACTGTACGCAGAATGATGTGACCACATTTTCTGAGTTGTTCCCACCAATTATAACCAGCCTGTCAGTGGCACCCAGGAAATACAGAGTAGGGAGGTCTGCATCTGCTCTGGCGAGGGTGGGAAGCAGCTCAGACCAGGAGTCTAAAAAACAAAGAGAATACATAAGCACCATTTATTTTGTTGATGTCAGAATATTATCAAAACGGTACAAACAAGGTTGATGGTTAAAAAAAACCTATTCCTCTTGCAAACATGTTCTGCCTTACCATGCCTCGTGTTGTACTGCAGCAGCAATTTCTCTCCAGTCCTCTGGATGCTCCCCAACACGTAGAGACTCTCTCCGAGGCTAGTGGCAAGTGGCACATCATAGGACAAGGACATGGTGAACTGGAAGTCAATGAGCGGCAGTGAGGAGACAAACCTGAGGCAGAGATCAAATTCAGTCACTAATTGATCAACAAATAATGGCAAAATTGTATGTAAGGGGAAAACATATCACATGTTGTTCTCAGTATCCTTCCATAAACCTGCCATCACTGTTAAAGAGGACACAAACCTCCATGTGTCCTTCCAGGGATCATAGCGTTCTACAGCTGTGTAAAGAGCTGTGCTGGAGTCTGGGGTCACCAGTGAGTCCAAGTACCAGCCTCCCACAGCGTAGATACAGCCTTCACAGGCCACTGCAGTGAAGTGCCTTCTGTGCTGTGGGTGCAACATATTCAATAGTATTAAAACAAATGATTGCAGAAAGAAAGGCATGTTTTAAAAAAAAAAAAAACGTATTATTTTCCAATAGTACTCCAATTTAGATGAACGTTTTTTTTAACTAGAGAATGCAATTCCTGAAGAAATTGCTAGTGGGAATGCTTTATGCTGAAAAGCTGACGCTAAACTGCTATGCTGAAATGTAATGTGTAAGAAGAAAGTGAAGAATTTAGATTGAAATGATACATGAACACTGGGGGCTTGAATGTGTGATGAGAGAAGAAAAGAAAGTAAAAAGGCTTGGAAAAGCAGCAGAATATTTGAACTGCAAACTTTTGAACTAACTTGATGGCGAATGATCTGTCGCCATGCCAATGGCATTTGATGACATCCCATAATACGCTTAGATGCGTTGATGGCTGCATCGTTACCAAACCTGTGAAGTTTTGGGCCAATTGGAGCATTTTCACTGAAGTTATGAGAAAACCGTGTTTCATGGCGAGCATTGTGTTGCCATGGCAAAGGCATTTGAAGAAATCTCAAAACTGTCCCGTAGATGTCTTCACGGCTGGACTGTTAGCACACATGTGAAGTTTGAGCACTTTTTGAACATTTTCATAGGAGTTATAGCGACATCGTCTTTTATGGCGAGTAAGGCCATGGAAACGGCATATGATGAAACCCCATAATTGACGTAGAGCTGTTGAGGGCTGGACCGTTAACCATTATCTGAAGTGTGGTGCTGTTTTGACCCTTTTCATAGGCGTTACGACAACATCGTGTTTTATGGCGAGGGATGCGTTTCCATGGAAACGGCATATGGTGAGATGTCAGATTTGGCGTAAAGCTGTTGAGGCATGGACCGGTGATATACAGGTGAAGATTGTGGGATGATCGGACCGTGTCCATTGGAGTTACAGCGACATCGTGTTTTATGGCGAGGGATGCGTTTCCATGGAAACGGTATATGATGACACCCCATAATTGACGTAGAGCTGTTGAGGGCAGGACCATTAACCATTATCTGAAGTCTGCTGCTCTGAGCATGTCAGTTGGAGTTATGACATAATCGTGTTCCATGACACAGGTGTTTATATTTGAGCTAACGACATGTCCAGAGATCAAAGGTTTCCATGGTGAGGCTGAACTTACAATGGGGTTTAATGGAGACATGTTGACAGTTTTTGTCACTTCATACCCTCAAGCTTAATTATTTTGCTTAATTTCTTTTAATTGTTCAAGCTACGAGATGTTTTCCTACGTTTCTCATGAAAAATGATGTCTCAGGAATGTAGGGTTTGGGAATTATGGCAGGTTTAAAAGAAAATATGAAGGCAAAATTAAATCTGTCCTCCACTCTAGCTGTGACATCACGCACTCTGAAGAAGTTCTCTTTACCAAGGTCTGAACAATGTTTAATATCTCTAAAAGTAAGAATCAGATTTAAAAGTTGTGTTACACAAATAATGTCAGAAAGATGTGTAACATTTTAAAGTTGGAATGAGGTTTCTGAGTGAAAGTATGAAGGAGCAGTTAGCAGTTGAAGAAGGAGCAGTTAGCAGTTGAAGTTGCATGAAGATTGTTGAAGTGTGAAGAGTTCTCCATTGACTTCCATGTTAAAAATGTGATGAATTATGGGATGTATCTCTGGAATTATGAAAGTTATGAATGATAAAAGTAATAGCCATCGATTCCCGACCGAGCTGAACGTTTTGATGTTTGAACGGAGTTTCTGCGATGTTGAAGAAGAGGTGCAAAATAACCCGGCGGAATAATAAAGAATTTTGTGCGTAGCATAACAGATAGTTGCAATGCTGTATCAGCATTCCCACTAAACAAGGGGTCACAACAACATGTATATGGTCTCAAATCCAAAAATGTCAACATGAGAATATGAAAAACAAAATGTATAGAAATCAAATGAATTATAACACTGAGAACGTAAATAACACAGGTATAAAAAAATTAAAATTAAATAAAAGATGAACGGCATGTTTAATTTTGGGTAAAACAGACACTAACCTTAATCATAGGAGCTGTGGAAACCCACTTATTAGTGGAGGGATTATACCGTGAGGAGGCCATCTTGAACTCCCAGCCTCTCTTCACACGCTGCCGGTAACCTCCAATTACATATAGGTAGTTATACAGCACCACTGTAGTGAAACACCACTTATCAGCCCTGAAGGGAAGCTCTGTGACTGGATACCAGTGTCCGCTGTCCTCTGAGCCTCTGAGGGTGAAGATATGTCGGGCACTTTCAGTTTCCGGGTCTTTCCAAGTAGTCAGGTTCTCTTTCCTAAGGCTGCACATACGTCGGTCTCCATGTGTCCTCCTCAGGTGGAAAACTTCTTCTTTCTCCTGATCCTTCAGACACCTGAGGAATTCACCAGTTTTAGGAACAACAAAGAAACATGTGGTCAACTATAGGAAATCCTAATGACAGCCAAAATAGTGCATACTTTATGAGGTGAGGTAGCTCCAGCAGGTTTCTACTCAGGTATGTGAACACGGTCCTCTTCAGCTCCACACAGCAGATATCCTGAGCCAGACTAAGGTAGGACTGACAGTTTCCTGGGCTGAGTTCGAGGACTGACAGACACTTTGAGAGGAAGGCCTCAGCCAGGAGATAGCTGCTGACCTCCAGAGTTGGAAAGGGAGAAATATGTTTTGTTTTAGGGTGAATTACAACACTAAGGGAAAGCATGAGATTTCCTTAAGTGACATGTTTAAATAGACGTAGAGAAAGGAAGTCTGTTTACCTGGATGTGGTAGCCCAAATCCTCCTGAGGGACTTTAAACTTATTATGGAAGGAGAACTCAAGGAGATTGTGGAAGACGGAGGAGGACACATGGTCCAGGAGGATGAGGCTCTCTGAAGTCTCCCTCATTCTGGATTGGGACAAGGCTCGGAAGTACTCACTGCACTGGGAGAGTCTCCCAATATCCACCTTAAAAAAATGAATTATTAAACCAAGATGGTTGTGGCCTCCAGTTCTATCTGGTTAACTTGTACAGTTTAGAAATGTGTGTTTTGGTTTTTACCTACATGGAATGCACATGTGCTGGTTTGCACTGTAAACATGGTTTCATCTCCATCTCCAGGGTGATATGTGCGAAGTGCCTCAATGGTTTTCCACTCCTCTGAGTCTGATCCTCTATCTGTGACACCTGGGGATGCTATCCGATATTTGACTGCTGGAAAAGCTCCCCATAGTCTTGTAAGAACATATATGAGCCAGAAGCTTAACCCCTCTATTAATATGATAACCCATTGCCTGAGAGGATCCATCTCATTGACGGTGTCAGATCTAAGTGAAGACAATTATAACAGTTTTAATACAGCCTGTACAATTTTTTTGTTTAAACTCCACAGGTTTTAAGATGCTTTGCACCATACAACCAGTCCTACAATCACACATTCAGACTGTAAGTGCTCCAAATGAGAGGAGACAAGCTCCCAATATTACAAGCAGCCACAGCAATGGCAAATAAAGGACAGAACGACCAGTTGAGTCCATGTTTCACTGGCTCATCTACTTTTCCTTCTGCAACGCTCACCGTCAAATGCTCTTTGAAAGCACAAGGAATCAGCTGAGTGCAAATACTTAAGACAACATGCCAACAGAAACCGCTTGTTAAAGAAGTTGGTGCAATGCAACGCAAGGCAAACTTCAGAGTTCCTGTTTGTTCTGCTACAGATCCAGTGCATTCGGAGGTCTCTCGATCTTTGAGCAGTGCAGCTCTTTCTGGCTGGTCTATTTTTGGCACTTGGAGGTGGGACAACAGTCAACCGTCTACGATGAAACATGGTCTCCTTCACGCTTCACGTCATCATGGGGCAACTAAGTTACTGCTGCAGTTTTAAAAGTAACTTTATGTTTCACAAAATGTATCGATACATTTGTAAAAATGTATTTTAGGGCCAATGTATTTATGAGAAAAACAAATGCATTGACACAGGTTCTAGACACATGTTTATTAGATTTTAACTAGTAGTTTGTACTACCATAACCAACATCAAACAGATGAAGCGTTGCTTTAAAAAAAAAAAAAAAAACAGTTAATGAGGCACAGTAAAGCAGCTAGCTTATTTTCAAAAGTAAACTGACAAAGCTTTAAACATAATCATAATGGTATTCAAACAAAAAAAATAAAAGTTTCAATAATTGTAGGATCTATTTAAGCAATTTAGCTTAATTGAGTTGACTACAAGTGCCAGATGTACATTTTAGTTAGATAAAACCATAGATGAGAATGACAAATGTTTACCAGATGATGTTACAGTCATACAATGATAAATAGAAGAGAAAAGGTAGCAAGACAGTTACAGAAATGTACAGTTAATAAATTCAATTCCACTATAGTACTTCAAATCTTTATTCTTCCCCTTATTATTATTTCAGCCAATACTTTGGCACTCCATAACTTCAGCTTATTTTCAGCTACAGAAACCATTCAAATATTAAACTATTCAGCCTGTTCAGGAATCGATGGGAAACCTTCACATTTTTAAAAATATGTTATACTTTCAGCTTTTTAAACTCTTTTTTTAACATGGAAGTCAATGGGAGATGCCTTTAAATCCTCTTTTCCTACACTTTGCGCCAAATGCTACTCCTTCCACATACTTTCAGCTAGACACTTCATTTTCTGCATTTTTGTAGCTAAAAGCAGCCACAAATGTTCACAGTTTTACAGCATTCGCACGCATTTTCTGCAGGAAATGCATTTTCTAGTTACCCATTAGAACAGTTACATCGATACTGTACAAAATAGCCCTTGTGGAATATTTTGTTGAATGTGGGTAATTAAGCTTTTAACTTCACATTATTGGACCTCCAAAGAACAACCCTAATTCAGAATGGACCTCAGAAAAAAGGAGCAAGGCAGAATAAAACAAAAAACTCTAAAATAACTCGAATTTTGAGACATGACCAGCATTGTTTAGTACAGTAGCCGACCATCATGTTGACTGAGCCCCTCAAATGCCCCACAACCAATTTGAACACGCCGTAGAGCTTTACCTGCTCTAAAAGAATTTCGAATTACAGAGAAAGATGCTTTAATAGGCTGGATTGTCTGCATTATGTTCAAATGTACATGTATATCTTCCACCCAACATTGCTTGTAGTAAGCAGAGTTGCATACATTTTATATCAAAACGTGGGAATCAGGAGAAGGCTTTCTTTAACTTGAGGTAGCCATCAAAGCGGCACTGGGCATAGTCCTGCAAAACAATATAGTCTACTTTAAGGCAACATTTACAAATGTAACATCAAATATGTGACTGACAAAGAATTATTATGTTTATTGAAATAAATGTACTATGCCACTGGTGTTTGTTTTGTAATGTGAAATAAAATAAAATTCCTTACCATGTATCCAAACTCGATCTTGGAAATCTTTGCTTGAATGATGGACCACAGCCCCCAGAGGAAATGTGAAGCTAATGCATACCTACAAATCACAGCAAGAAAGGACCAGGGCTTTAGTGATTCTGCTATAACCTTTAAATCATACATAGCATTGCTGTAGATCAAGTTGTACCTGTTAGCTTCAATTATCATGGCCTCCTCCTCCTGTGTCTGGTCCTTGGAAATGTCAGAGTGTCCTCTCTGCTGTGCCAAATAAGCTCTGATGAAATGAAGCTGAAATTAAAAACAAGTGACACGTTAAAAAAAAATGTAGAAAAGTGATATCATCTTTTGTTTACACATTTTATGATTGCCTATATCTGCATTATTTGATGTACTGCACATTGCCATCAGGAAAACCAAGTGTCTTTACTCTAAAATGGAGTAAAGCAACTTAAAAAAACGAGTGACCCCTCCCCCTCCCACCCAGCCTACATCTTCTTCCAGCTTCTCTCCTCTGGATGGCGCTACAGGCTCATCTTAACAAATACCACCCAATTCATAAACAGCTTCCTTCCAACAGCACCTATGACACTTAACTCCACTCACTACTCCACCTTACCACAAGGTCCTTTTTACTGACCCATATTGTTCTGCAGGCACTGGAAAGATCTCAATATTATTTTTGCTGCTGCTATTAATTGATATATTCATATCTCACACTGCACTGTAACTTTTATTCATGTACCTGTGTTATTCATGTTTTATTATCTTTGCTGTGAAATGAGTGTTTTAAAATGCCATTTTTAAATATGTTACTGCTGCAATATGTCTTAATGCTCTTAATAACTTTGAATTGCCTTGTGTTGAAAGGTGCTATATAAATAAACTTGCCTTGCCTCAATGAGCTGGAGGTTTCCTATAATTTCACTGTCTTTCAAATGTATGTTTCCTTTTTGTGTGCATTGTTTTGATGGTTATCGTTTCTGTTCATTTATTTAACTGCACTGAAACTGAGCTCCTATGCTGTACCAATACAGATTCCAACAACACCGTAGCCTGGTTATTCATCTAGCCTCATTTTTAAATCAATGATTGCCATCTGAATACAACATTTGCATTAGCAATTTTAACCACTAGATGGCACTGTATGATCAGAGCATATCCATTTCCCAAAAGAGATGGCCTTATATTTTTGGTTTAAACATCAACACTGTGAAGGCTTCTCAATATTCTAATTTCCCCTCCTCGACTACTCGGTCCTCCGGTAGTGACCCGGAAATGGATTTCAGCGCGCCATGTTGAAGGACATCTCATTTCTCTAAATGCACATCGAGGACCGAGGACCGAGCATCGAGCATCGAGGAGGAGCTATAACCGAGGATACACTGATGGTTCCTCCACGGCTCCTCCGCGGATGCATTTCCGGGAACGGTGGAGGCGTGACGCACGGCCGGACTTATCTCAGCCAATGACAGCTCTGCATGCATCCCCTGGATATTATTTTAGTAACTGCTTTCATCGCGACGCGATGTTTACAGTGAGAACAGCTGTGAGGTCCGTGCAGAAAGCAGAGCAGTGTGTAAAATATATATCACTCAGTATAACAGGCCTACATTACTCTCTGTATTTGTATGCTGTAGTTTAGTAGATATCTACAAACAAAGAGTCGATAGACCATTCAGTGCTTCACATAATAAAATACACAACGGCTGTAGCCTGATTATGCTTTAGAAGCTGTAGGTGTCTGTGGTAGGCTACAGTGTGTAGGTGTGCGTGTTGTACAGTGCGTAGATGCGGCGGACAGACGGGTCTTAGTTGGTTTGGTGTCCTATGCTTACTTTTAATAATTGTAAATACAACTTTTGGCCCGTAATTTCAATTCCCCATTTCAGCGACCAGAGAGAGGGAGGGATATATCCAGTCTCTGATTGTGCTCTCATACTTGTTTGATTCTGAAATTGTATATATTTATATAAATATATGTGTGTGTATATGTCCGCATCTGTAGCCTGTTATTGTCTCATTATACCGCACTGTGAATGAAGTAAATATATAAGTCGTCATGAACACATCTGTCCATCAGACAGAGTGCTGCTGTGCCTCCTGTCATCATTAATAGACGTCTCTTTAAAATGAAAATTGGTATTTGGAGCCAAACACTTCAGAGACATGTTTTGTATATATCTGAGACCTATTATATATTGATGAAAAACAGTATAATAGGGGACCTTTAATAGGTTAGTCTACTTTTATTCAGCCCTGGTTTAAACTGACCTGCTGCTCTCTGGTGGGATAGTTCTCCTGTGTGGCTTTGTAGAAGGGCCACTGGTTATAGGTGTAGTCATACATCCACTCACAGAAATGGTTCCCAAAGTCAAACCCCCTACATGAAAGAGTAATACATTAGTCATTTAAAAACAAAAGACCACAATCTTTGTGTATGCATCTAAGTGTAGTCCAGACAACATATTTCTTATCAGAATGAATCATTACTGTTGATCAACAACTTTACCTGTAATTGTAACTGCTGTACTCAAAGTCAATCAGCATGAGTCTGTCAGTGGTTTTGGGGTCCTTGTCTTCCAGTATCAGAATGTTACCTGCAGCAGCAAAACAAGATTTTCTGTTAATAATAATAATAATAATAATAATAATAATAATAATTTCAGCCTCTGTTGGGTTAAGACACATCGACTTCTTCGGCTATAACTGAACTTCAAGAGTCACATTGTTTTGCACAAAGAAGTGCTTTTTGTAGAACGTATATATGTTGGCGATTGAGAGGTTTTGAATGTGAACATGCTCAAATGTACTTTTGGTCTGGGTTGGACACTTAATTCCAATTTGAGTGACAATGTTGGCTTTATTAGATAACAAAACTAATAGACAGGAAAGTAGGAGAGAGGGGACACGAGAGCCACGTGGGTGCCCTCAATAGTGGTAAATCCTAAAACTTGTGGCAGTATGAAGAGAGACCTTATCTCATTCACCATGACAATGTCACAATGTACAAAGCCAGCTCTGTGACCAAATTGTTTTCCTAGATAAGTGTGGACAAACTTGACTTGCCTGTACGGAGGAAGAGCTGCAAAGCTACCCATATGAGCAAAAACTGTCACAGTAGATATATTGGCATAATCACATATATCACAATCAGCTGTGTATATATTTTGCAGTTTTCCACATATCTTTAATATGTCAGTTCAGATTAAGTAGTTATTCTAAGAGACACTGCCATTTATTAAAAAGCTATTCCCCGACCGCCACCTTGTATTCTTCATCTTCAAATACAGGAAGATGCATATGAATTTGAGAAGTTCCTATTAATAACTACACCCAAGCCTTTCTTTGACTTATGGTTATAACTGCTAAGGGTTGATCAATTAGCCAAAGTTAGAAGTTTGAGGATTAAAGTTTACCTTCCGTGACGTCATTGTGGCAGAACACCACTGGTGATTTAGTCTCGGCCAGCAGCGCACTGTGGTGGAGGAAAGAGCCAGATGAACAGAGTAGATGATGACAGAGAAAGGGAGAGGAAAGAAGGAGCTTGTCAGTGATGCATTTGCAGGCGGTGTTACTTACTAATCATTAATACCAATGTTAAATAAATGAGGCGAGTATAAAACATGATGTCCTAGAGACTACCGTTACTACACTGCAGCAATGACGGTATTTTATTTTTAATAATTATTCATTCAAATTGTACTGTAAAGAGGCATACTAGGCAAAAATATACTGATTAATTCAAAGCATCTATGTATGTAACCCATAAGATCACCCAATATGATCATTATGTGTATTTTTGAGAAAGCTTCTTTTTAATAAGTGGCAAAAGTATTATTCAATTCTCCAGAAGCTTAGGATGATGTAACTAAAATATGAAATATACTGAGGGGGGTGGAGTGGTGCGTTTTCCTGATTAATTTAATTGTTTACATCAAGCCAAGAAGATGGCGCCTTGAAGTCTCATAACTGTGTCAGACATCAGTGGGAGACTGCTACATATCTAAAAGATAAAACATGTGCTCATAGATAAAACAGTGACAATAAACACTGTGCTGATTATCTATTGGCTGCCGAGGTCAGCCCACTTGGAGGACTCAGCTGTGAAGTCGTGGAGGGACTGGGACAAAGGTCAGTTATTAGACTGAAAAGGAAAATAGAGAGTGTCCTGTCCCAATGATTACATTCTTGTTAGCAAGAAATATAAAACAATAACTGTATAGTTTTATTTATGTAACATATAATCATTTAGTTTATATATATATATATATATATATATATATATATATATATATATATATATATATATATATATATATATATATATATATATACACATGTCTTTAGGTTTTTGGTGCTGGTCCTTAAACGTCAGTAGTAACAGGCTAACCTGACCAACTTCCTAAAATCTACACAACATCAGATTAGGTTCAACATTATTGTCATTGCACAGAATATTGAGTGAAGACAATGGAATAAGGGTATGCATGTGCTAGATACAGTGTGAGCCGTTGAACAGTATTTACAGTGGGTAAATTACAGCAAATGATATGCGATGGCTCTGACCAAACAACATCTTGTTGACACTTGGCTTAAGCAATAGTGATTGCATCATCGTGTTTCTACTTCCCCTCAAAATCTGTTTTTGACACTGACTGTAAAACTCTGAATCACGAGGGTTTGCATGTTCAATGACCCTCCTGCTAAATTGTGATTTTAAAAAAGAGAAAAATATGATATATTGACGTTTTTGTCCTCGTACATGGGTATCTGCAAGAGTTATAATTGCCAATAGTTGTTTTTTGTGTGTATATTGTATTTTATTTTAATTGTGATTATTTTTCAAACATTTTGAAAAAGATTCTGCTCCCTCGCTGACACTGTTTTTCCTCATCTTTACTTACCCTAACTTTGAGGCTTTATTTATACTTTATGATAGTCACTTAATGCATCACAATATTGCTTTTATATTTATGTATATTTGATTCCTGTGCCCCAACTCACCGTAGATTCTCCAGCTCAGCAGGCAGGTCTAATTTCATCAGCTTATTGTACTTCTTCACATGTGCTTCACGTACAAAATTAAGCTTCATCACTTGATCCATGTATCTAAAGGAAAAAGAAGACATTACATCCAAAGCAGATAGTTCTAGTCAAAGAAGGAGATACCAAGATGTCCTTACTTGTCAATGGTCCCAAAGAGCCAACTGGGCTCTTTGTTAAAGGGCATGCTCATTTCATGGAAACCTGCCACCTTGGTGGCAATCTCAGCCGATATGGCAGGATCGGGAAGTTGATCTGTGCGCATGCGGGTATTCTGGAAAAACAGATAAAATAAAGATGATATCAATGCTTCCTCTACCTAAGGACCTAGATCAAGTATTTTATGGATTGACATACTACTTACAAAGTAGAAGGAATGTGTTCAATAGAAATTCAGATTAGATTTTAACCCTGAATGTTCAATACTTTGAAACATTATTTTGTTATGTATGAATGTGTGTACGGTGTATGTGTGTGTGTGTATTATACCGGAAAGTACTGTTCTAAGCGTCCCTGGGGAAAGATGCCGTACAGTTTTGGTCCTAAAGTTCGTTCTGCCAGGATGGCGAACATCACACTTTCCAACACCAGGGAGTCCACTCCCTGTGTCACAGAAAGACAGACAGAAAGACAGACAGAAAGACAGACAGAAAGACAGACAGTTTGATTACATTTTTGCTTTAGTTTATACTTCCAGGCAGACAATATGATAGAAGAATGACTACAGAAATTATATTTTCCCCCATAGTAATTCAACAGCTGAACAGACCAACCTGTAAGATGGCACCATACACTCTGAGGAGCACGACGCGAGGTTCATCTGCGACAGCGGGCACATGGTCAGGCAAACAACACAGGTAGAGCAGATTACTCAGCCCCCCACTGCAAAACAAAAACACCAGTGCTATCACATCAGGGCAAAGTTAATGTCATTACACATAGCTACAGTATATAGTAATTGGACACTAGTGGTGCTACAGTACGTGCAAACCAACTGTTTTGCTATCGTGTCTAAAGTGACTGATCACTTGCACTAAGGCTGCGGTTCAGTCTTTTTTGATTCCTAACTGAGCGAAATAACCTAAGTGGGAGCGAGGATAAGAGCTATTTATTACTCTGGACGATAAGGAAAGGAGCTTAACACTTCCTTCATTATCTCCATTAGCATAGAATACACTGTACCATCCTGTACGAAATTAAAGCAGATATGTATTAAATTAAACCATCTTTCACTGTTGTCCACGTTTATAGAGCCTACATGAAACAACATAATGAGAAGCCACACTCCAATGTTTAGACGTGTCTATAGAAGTCTAGATCTATGTCAAATTGTAGTTTTACCACAGCAGACCAAATGAAGTCCTGTTGGATTCTCCTTCACATCTTTCCTTAACTTAACCCTATTACGTTTTTCACTAAGGTTAATGAAATGTGGTTATGAAAAGACATAGGACCTGTTTTTTTTTTATTCGCAGCCCAATACTGTCCTTGCCTAACTGGCAGCTGGCTCAGCCTTAGTAGGCTACATGGTGCACCTGCTGCTCAAATTGAGCCCTGTGCTGTTTTTCACCTGTACATATATATTTGACTGCACTCATAATATCACATTGTTTATATACTTAAAATAGCATAGTTTATTCATATCCACACTTAAGCTGTTTAATATTGTTTATATTACCACTATACACACACACACATTACTCTGAAACTTCACTGCTTTACACACTCAGAACTTAAAAAATGCCTTTGTTACTAAATGTATAATTTGTAATTGAGTTGTTCCCCTGTGAATAGGCCATACAATACACTACACTTGTTGTGGCTGTACACAAAATTAAAACAAAGAATACAAGAATGATTATTACTAATTTGGTGTCAATTTTAAGTACATAATAATGTGCGATGATGTCAAGTAGCTATCTTTGTTTTGAGGGACCCCAAACTATTACATTAGGATTAGTGAAAGTACGCCATATTATCTCAATATTTGAGACATTAATTTACTTAATTTAAAAAGGCTACCTATAGTATTAAGATAAGGACATTATAGTGATGTTATCTTCACTAGGCCTACAGCTGTAATTTCACATTATTTACCTAACAATGCTTATTTGAAAATCCCTTTCTTCGACGGTCTTCCAGGACCCAGCTAGGAAGTCTCTGCACCAGGAGAACGCCCTGCTCCGGGTGTCCCGGTCAACCTCCTCGGTTCTCCCATCCCGGAAAGCCTCTGCCTCCGAGTCGTAATCACAGTTGGCCCCAAATAAGGGACTCGGGGTCCCAAAACGTTTCTCACGCATTCCCCCCACTCGTTTATTCTCCTCGGGAGGACCAACATCTTCTGTTGTGACAGAGGGAATGTTGCTAGAGAGCCCCGACTTCTCTACACCGCCCGGGCCCTCCTCCTTGACTCCGCTGCCCGTCACATTTCCACCCGACTGCATCGTGAGTTTCCGGGCGAAGAGCAAAGGGAGACCGGTGTTATATGTCGGTCTGAAGACAAGACAAGACTGGCTCGCTGGAGTTCGCAGTTCACCGGTAAGGCTACGCAACCGGAAGAGACAAGCATAGCGGGATAATCTGGTACGCATGGGTGGGCGGTTTGCAGCAAGTATTAAAGTATATTGGGGGCGTTTCTCAATGCCGAGTATACCTGCTGCAGGACAACTGTCACTACCTATGGTCACTACCTGATCTGCAGCCCTGCCCTATCTGCAGTGCGCATGTGCGAGATGGTTCGCCAAACTACATACGGCAACTCTAATAGGACACTTGACACAGTGGCTTTTGGCAAAGCAGAAAAAGAACCGAGAGAGATGAGTTATTGTTATTACAACGTGACTTCACTATTATTTAACAACTCTTTTTATTGGGTTCTTTTATTTGGGGTTAAGTAAATTGTCAGAATAAGTGAGAAATGGATTTAATTTCTGTTAGACAGCTATATGCTATACATTTTTGCATACATTCACAGTAAATATTTATTCAGTATGATAGCTTCGGAGTTTTTTTTGTGTGCTTTGCCAAATGCCACTGTGTCAAGTGTCCTAGTTGGGTTGCCGTACGGAGTTGTGCAATATGGCGGACCATCTCGCACATGCGCACTGCAGATAGGGCAGGGCGGCAGATCGGGTAGTTCTTTTTTTAATTTATTTTTTATAAATGTTTTATTGAAAAATGTTTAAACATACAAAAGCTCGGTGAGAATATCATCAACTTATCAACATAAGTTCAAGACATTCATTCACAATAAGACAAAAAAAACATAAATAATACATCCAATAAGAGCCAGGGGGAAAGAAAAAAGCATAAAGGCACAAAAACATTTAAGAGGCATTAAGCTTACTTAAAATAATAACCATTTGGAAATGTCATTGCAAATCTTTATAGACAGGTTACAAGATTGTATTTTTCTAAGGGACAGAAAAAAGGACTTGAACTCATTTATGAAACAGGGAAAGGAGGGCTTGCCTCCTCTCCATTTACTACAATGTAAATGGTATTTACCCAAAATAATAATTATATTTACCAAATCAGAAATGGGAGAGTCCAAATTATCAATATAATATAAAATGTGATATATTTTGAACGCCGGAATATTTGTTAATTTAAGTAACAACCAATCTCTCACATTCGACCAAAACAATTCAGAAAAAGGGCATGAGAAAAATAAATGTTCCAACGATTCATCAGATAAATTACAAAAGGAACATCATTCCACTTCAAATTTAAATCTTGAATTTAAAAAAGTAGAAACCGGGTAGATTTTATGAACAATTTTAAAATTAGTTTCTTTTGCTTTAGGGGAAATAGGCCATTTTATAAAATAAGATAGAGCTTTTTCCATTACAGATAAAGTGTCTAAATCGGTCACTTGAGGAAATAAGCCTCTGTTAAAATTGTGAAAAATGTGGGATTTCAGGGAAGCATTAATAGATTTGTTATTCTTAAGAGTATCGCCAATAATTTCCAAATTAGGTAAAACTGATACAACATTTGAGTACAGTAAAGTATTATGAATCATTCCAATAAGTGGTACAGGAATTGCTTTACAGATTTTGTTATAATCTTTAGCAGTACACGTTATATTGTATTTCGTTGAAAAGGCCAACAAATCTAGCAGTTTACCATTGCAATCTAGTAAATCATTAACAAACAAAATACCCCTCTCATGCCAATCACTCCTAAACAAGGATTTTCTGTTTATGATAATCACTCTATTGTTCCATAAAGTAGATCCATGGGGAGAAAAATTGTGGGTAAATATCATCTTCCAATAATGAAGTATCTGCTTATGAAAATTTGACAATTTGGTCGGAATCTTATTAACCTCAAAATCACATTTTAAAAGAAAATCAAACCCTCCTAGAGGCAGATCGGGTAGTGACAGCCACTATTTCAAGCATACTACGTCATCGAGTGCCGCCGAAGTACTGTTCCAATCTCCAGCATACTTGGAAATCTACCGAGCCCGGCGTACTCCGTTTGGAGAAATATCGAGGCTGCACATGAGTAGACTCCGTGGTCTTAAAATCCCCACAATGCTTTGCGCACGGACCAATTTCCCCAAATCTGTGGCGGAAGATGTAAGGCGGGGCCTCTCATATGACGCACACCTGCACACTTGCTAGCGTGTTCCACTCTTCGTTTTCCGAATGCCAGGAAGTATTCTTGACTCACTTCTGAAGCAAGATGCTCGGCAGACATGTGCTACCAAGCAAGCGTACTCGCGATTGAGAAACACCCTGTGGGTGCTTCCTGACATTCGGAAAACGAAGAGTGGAACACGCTAGCAAGTGTGCAGGTGTGCGTCATATGAGAGGCCCCGCCTTACATCTTCCGCCACAGATTTGGGGAAATTGGTACGTGCGCAAAGCATTGTGGGGATTTTAAGACCGCGGACTCTACTCATGTGCAGCCTCGATATTTCTCCAAACGGAGTACGCCGGGCTCGGTAGATTTCCAAGTATGCTGGAGATTGGAACAGTACTTCGGCGGCACTCGATGACGTAGTAGGCTTGAAATAGTGGCTCTGAAGCAGCTTTACTCGCGATTGAGAAACACCCTCTCACTACCCAATCTGTCTCCCTGCCCGATCTGTACTGCGCATGTGCGAGATGGTCTGCCATATTGGACAACTACATACGGCAACTCTACTAGGACACTTGACACAGTGGCTTTTGGCAAAGCAGAAAGAGAACCGAGAGAGATTATTGTTATTACAACGTGACTTCACTATTATTTAACAACTCTTTTTATTGGGTTCTTTTATTTGGGGTTAAATACATTGTCAGAATAAGTGAGACATGGATTTAACTTCTGTTAGACAGCTATCATACTGAATAAATATTTACTGTGAATGTATGCAAAAATGTATGGCATATAGCTGTCTCCACGGGCTGCGGAAGCGAAATGCTTGATGGGAAACGACTCGCTGGTATCTCGAGCTGAGCGCTCATTGGTGGGTTTTACCCCGTGCTGGGGATGAAACTCTCCATTGGCTCGGCAAAAGTGTGTTGTTGTTTTGTGTCAGTTTTACGTCGCCACTTCCATTCACATTTTTCATCATTGTTCCACAATGTTTATCATCATTAAATTAATATCTATATATTTTATACTATACTTGCACTGCTTACCGTTGTCATACTTTATATATCTTAGCATATTCATACACACTGTCCATACTGCTCACAGGCTGCTGCTGTGTACAGTATATCTCGTGAATTCATACCCCTCACTGTTTTTTCATCATTCAATTCATTCTATATTTTATTCTGTAGATTGTGTACATTACTTTTCACTTTACTGCTTTATGCACTCCTGGTTAGAAGCTAAACTGCATTTCATTGTCTCAGTACCTGTAATCTGTGCAATAACAATAAAGTTGAATCTAATCTTGAGCAGGAACAAATGTATTTACTTAGTACATATCTGACATTAACGATTAAACACATTTGTGCATTCTTTATAAATGCAAACCGAGTCAAGCCGACTCCAGGTGGCAGTATGCACCTTAAAGTTGTTTGCAATCCGCCAAAAAACCGAGAGAAGAAGAAGAAGAGGAAGAAGCCGACTCCGAGCTGTCCGACTTCAGGCGAGCTTTTTGAGACCTCCCCCGGCTGCGATCGGCTATTCTCGTCTACTTTCGAGGCGAGCCGCAGCTCGTCTCAAACAAGCCTAGTGGCTCTGCAGCAGGTTTACTCGACATTGAGAAACGGCCACGGCCTTGGCCTTTTAAAGGGCCCATGTCATGGCCATTTCCACTGATCATAATTCCATTGTTGAGGTCTACTAGAATAGATTTATATTGTGCATTTTTCCAAACTCACATTGGCTTCTCATACAGCATCTCTGTAAACTACGTGTATTCACTGAATTTCACTCTCTGCCTTTAACGGCTTGTTGTAGCTCCAATAGCTCCAGCCCCCACCCTCCCTGTGAGCACAGTGTGCTCTGATTGGTCAGGACGTTGTGAATCGCGCTGAGCTCCGTGGAGGTGTTGTTTCCTTGTTAGCGATACATAGCCAAACACAGCCAAACTCATCCTGAGCACACACAAAGTCACAGCCGAAGTAAAAACAATAAGTGTGGCTTGATATTGAGTAAGAAAAAGGTTGATAAACGCTGTGAGAATGGGTCTGCAGAGAGAATTTCGCCGCGATCCCAACTGTCTGTTATCAGCCTGCAGCCAGGGAGGATAAATCAGCAGAGCTGCCTGCTCCCTGCACACAGATGTGTGTGTGAGGAAGTCCGTGGATTGGTCAATTTGGACCAATCAGCGGGGGCTTAATGTAACGGCTCCGCGGACGTAACGTAACGGCTCCACGGATTGGTCCATTTTGTTCCGGGTACGGCTTGACATCATGCCGTACCCGGAACGAAATGGAAGAATCAAATGGACAATGACGTATCTCCAACGAGGCGTTTTGGGGAGGTATTTTCTGTGTTAGAGTTTTACTCGCTACAGGGTGTACTTTGAGGGTTTGTGACTCTGCACACCGTGTACATGCATAAAGACCTTCATAACACACAAGGGGACGGGTAATAACCAGAAAAGCATGACATGGGCCCTTTAAGACTGGTGTTTCTCCTCGTCGGACGCGCAGTAACTGGTGATTTGCACAGAGGTAAACTGGCATATTCATTGTCCAATCACATTTCGATTACCTGTTCTAATTGGTCATTTCTATGTGGTAACTTTGTACGTCATCTTCCTGCACACTGAAGGACTCTGGGAAATGTAGTGTCCATGTTTGGCAATGCTACTGAACATTCTGTATTTTGAACGGTTTGGTTAAAGAGCATATTTGTAAAAAAACAGCAAAAACAAACCATGTTTAAAGAGAGACATTGATGTAAATGGTAGTTTATGGTATGGATGGATGGATTCTAATTTAATTTCCACCCAGTGAAAAGAGCTACTTGATAGGCTACAGTCCTACCCCTTTACTGCTGCAAACCCTATACAGCCTTTGTGCTCTGTATATTGAGTCTTCTAATGCTTTTGAGCAATTTGTTGTTTGGTCTCTGATAATGGTATGCAAAACACTAATGTAGTTGATTAATCAACTATTTCAAAAGCCAAATACCATATCCATAATTGTAAATGTACATTTATGGGAAACCATGATGTATTGCCTTAAGCAATGAGTTTAAACAACAGGCATAAATATGTCTACAATTCAACACTCTAAAAAAAAATGATTTAAAACCTTATCAGGTTTAAGAATATGTATTTTTTGAGTTAAGCTTCACACCTTAACTTTTTTTGTGTCGTCCTGCATTGGACGATTTTCAATGATTATTTTATAGCTTGTTTGTTTTTTTGCTTTACATTGGTAATCTGTGCCTGTTTTGGTCAAACTGCAGATGTTTTGAGATGTGCTATGGAAATATAGTTTGCATTGATTTGAAGTCATGTGTGTTGAGTCATATAGTCATAATATGCCATTGTCAATGTCAATTCATAAGACTCGAAAACATAGTTCAGCAATTGGGTATTTATTTGAAACTCAATCACTTTTCACAAAACATCTGAAAAAGAGATTTCAGGATAATGTAATGTTGTTACTGAATGAAGACCAGCTCCTTACTGCTAACCACAGTGGTCTCTTCTCTAGAGCCTTTCTGGACAGAAACGTCTCTCCCTGTGTAAAATACATTCCAATGGTCAGTTGCTGTCAGACTTGAGGTTGAAAAAGACACAAGATGACATCAGACATCATACGCCTTTGGTGGAAACATGTTCGGCTTTTTTGATTTTCAAATCATCTCCCATACCTTTCCTGTCTAACACTTAAAAAACATGACTCTTTAGTTTACTGTTTGTCACGAGTCTGCTTTATGTCTCCAGACTCAGAACTAAACATGGAGAAGCATCGTTAGTTATTGTGCTCCAAAAATCTGGAATAAACTCCCAGAAAATGTAAGGTCCGCTGCAACTCTTACTATTTGAATCCAGGCTAAAATACTTTCATTGTGCTGCTGCTTTTAATTGAACCATTCATATCTTACACTGCACTGTAACTTGTATGCATGTATTTCATACCTGTGTTATTCTATATTAGCTTGTTTTATGTTTATTTTAATCTCTTTGCTTTTTAATGACTGTTTTTAAATGCCATTTATAATGTGTTTCCACTGCCCTATTTCTTAATGTTATTAATGTTTTTCATTTTTGTAAAGCACTTTGAATTGCCTTGTGTTGTTTATATGAATAAACGTGCCTTGCCTTGTGTTCATTTTACAGACTTCAGAGAAAAATAAAATTGGTGTTTTAAATATTTTCACAGTGAATGTTGTTATACTTACTGTTTCTGAAGCACCTAGGTTCACAATTATCTCCGACAGACGGTTGACACACGGCTGCTTCACAGTGGATATACACCTGGTAAAAAAATGTTATATATTATTCGTAATTATGACGGTTATATTACAAAAAACATATAAAAACTAAACTTGACAAAAGCCTTTGTCTTAGATAGTTAAATCCTATACCTTTTCGTTGAGAGGAATCATAGCCGCTTGCTTTACACCTCCACCGGATACAAACGTGAACATCTTGAAAACAAAACGCCTGTGGTGGGTTGGGTACATGAGTCCTGATGAAGCGTCCACAGGGACCAGAGCAGTCAGATAGCGGTCATCACGGTATGGGCAGCTATGGCAAAGAGAGTGAAGAATAGGTTTTGAGTATAGCCTCGTAGAAAGTTTTATAAATGCCTATTTCCAAGTAAAATCAACATTCACTCTTACCCATCAATCAGCAAGTCCCATTGAGGGAGACTTTGAGGGTAGGGAGTAGAAGTTGCCCAGCATTTTCCAAGAGTCAATATAATGTTGGGATCAGTCCTCTCCAGTATATGGACTTCCGCATACACAGGGTCTCTGAGAACCTTTGTGACGGGGTAGTCAGAGTCAACGTAAAAGGAGTTGTAGGCCACCTCCTCTGCTCAAGTAAAAAAAATGTGGTTAATGCACAGTCACTGCCGAATGAGACTGACAGCACACCATATGTCCTTTACACTAACCTTCCACACATCCCTTGACTGAACACTCTCCATTGGCCAGCACTAGCTCCACGCGCAGGGGTCCTGGAGCTGCCACTGGGTGTGGTGGAGGAAGCAGGCCAACCTCGATAACTAGAGCCTCAATTGCGGTGCCAATGTATCTACACTGGACAAGCACCCTGAGACAAGATATACGGTCTATGTTAGTCAGTTAGTCAGAAAAGTATTAAAGTGCAGTTTGTCATATCACAATGAACTAACCCCAAACCATTGTAGAGAATTCAAGGTAAATTCACTGTATTCTATTGATACCACTGATTTGTCTGAATACTTGAGGCCTTAGCAGAGAATTAACTGAAGTAGCAATAGAAGTAGTAATCTTTCATGTTGTGACCACTCAGAGTTAAACAAATACAAATAAATACTCATATTGACTGTCCCTGGTGATGGCTCCGTTGGATCCAATAGCGACTTCATAAAAGGAGGACATCCGGTTCTCATAGATTATAACGCCAGGCTCCTCCTACAGTAGGTTGGCAGTATTCCAGTTTTATTTCCCAACGAAAATGTATACTAATGACATTATACATTTAAATGAGTCAAAATCCTTACCATCATGACAGTGCCACAGGAAGTGACAGGGAACTGGTAGATGGCAAAGGCTGAAGTAGTGCCAATAGGATTGCAGGTTTCGCCACCACCAAGGAAGGAAACTGTCTCTAAATCGAGGTTGGGTAGGGTGGCGTCTTTGGCCACCACCACGATTAATTGACCATTCTTGGTGCACTGAAGGGTCACTGAAAACAACACAATTACAAGCAAAGACTATGGATCATGCCATACTCATTGAACACATTTTAATTACCAGAGATATAAATGTGTTTCTTTGAAGAGTAAGAAAAACACTAACCAGATTTTCCATAATAGCACATGTGTCCACCATAGCAGCAGTTTATAGCTTCACAATGTTCAGTAGAGATTCCAGGAGCTCCACACTGTATCTTTTGATTGTCAGCAACTTCACAAGTTTGCTGGGGCAGCTGAGGCCTCTGTGGCTGTTTAGGCTGGTGGGGCTGCTGAGGCTGCTGAGGATACTGAGGGGGGTTCCATTTAGGGGCAGTTGCTGGCTGCTGGGGCTGCTGGGGAAGCGGATGCCTCTGCAGCTGATCATGCCAAGGATTCTCAGGCAACTTTTGCCACTGTGGCTCTTTAGGCTGCTGAGGCTGCTGGGGCTGCTGGGGAAGCTGATGCCTCTGTGGCAGTTTAGGCAGCTGATCATGCCAAGGATTCCCAGGCAACTTTTGCCACTGTGGCTCTTTAGGCTGCTGAGGCTGCTGGGGCTGCTGGGGAAGCTGATGCCTCTGTGGCAGTTTAGGCTGCTGATCCTGCCAAGGATTCTGAGGCAACTTTGGCCACTGTGGCTCTTTAGGCTGCTGAGGCTGCTGGGGCTGCTGGGGAAGCTGAGGTGGGTTCAATTTAGGGGGAGTTGCTGGCCACTGCTGGGGCTCCTTTACATTTTGAGCATCAGCCAGACAGCCAAGCAGGGCAACTGCCAAAAAAGAAAAAATCAATTTCATTGCATTGGCTTCACAGTGAACTGATTCGAAAGGAACACCAACTACTGTGGAATAAAAATGGTGCTATGCTGACTTTTATAAGGTTGGCCTATTGATAATGTTGACGATGAGGACTCACATCCTATTTGCTGCCCATAACTTCCAATCACAAGCTCCAGTGACTGTGGTTTGTGGTGATGCACTAAAGAGATTTAATGGATTGCCAAACAAGTCATTTCAGTGGACAAATAACATGAATTCTAGAGATATTGCATCGGAAGATAATAACAGCATACATGGTAGTAAACTCACTGTTGCATTATCATGAATATGTATTCATTAGTATCCAACCCATGCTTAAGAACCCCCTGATTGTCATTGAGCGTGAATGTCAGAATTTCCAGATTGTTTGTACAATTTCAAAACAAAACCTTTCACAGAGTTTGTATGACCTGCAATGTGCAGGTCATCATGTATTTGGGCAGCAGGACTCGACTAAACAAATACTTCTTCTTATCTTATTTGCCATTGATACAAACATTTAACTGAATTGACGAGCATCCATAAACAACTAGTATAGCATGCAGATATGTCAAATGTAAAGAAATTAGTAAGTGGCGTGTGCATATACGTCAAGCATTTCAACATTCTCTAGATGGCTGGATTCATATAATATATACTAGCAATTTATAAATGTATAACATTCATGTCTGAACATCTTATTTCATTGAAATACTAACACATTTTCTAAGAACTTTGCAGGGGAAATATTGTGAGATTGGCACACTTAGTATTTCCCGTCAAACATAGAAAACTGTATGCAGATTCAGATCAGTCTGTACTTGGTTGACATAGCAATTCATTTTTCCTGGATAAGCTTTTTTTCTCGCTGTTGCGGTAACGAAGATTTAGAGGTTGCATACAATTTTGTTGTCAATTTTGATTTGAATAATTTGTTTAATAGATTTGCCATTTATAAAATATGGATTTGTTATATTTGAAATCATTTGGTCAAAAAAGAGGACGAAAAAATGGAAATCAAAGCAGATGAATAATTGGAGCTTATTGTAAATCACGTATCTGCAGGTTAAAATAAGGAAAAACATGTCATCACTTAACCTCTGTATTATTTTTCAATTTGGGGGATAATCAAATTTTTCTCTCGCAGGAATATTTCATTTATAAACTCTTTTTACTTCTCAAGATCACCAATCTATTTGATCTCTATGTAAACACAGTAAAGGTCATTTAGAAACATCAACCTGGAGTAGGACCATATTGATTTGCAGCTCTCCACAAAATGTACTTTGGCAAAATATTGAGTTTGAAATTCCATGTTGAGGGCAGGTTGACCTAACCCAAGGTCAACATAACTTTTTGTCACCAAGACTTTTGGAACTTTCAAAAGTTACTTTCAAATTATACCCTCCATATGTTAATATTTATTTCATTTGGCTGCATTACCATCACTTTTGTGTCAGCACATCCACAGTTTTGTGTTCATATTACTATTTATTTATGCTGCTTGTATTTTTTCAGCATAGTATAAAATGTTATGCATTAAAATAATAAATAATCTAAATCTAGTTGAAGATGCATCACCAGAACTGTAGGCGTTGCTTTCGTCAAAAGCAGCAATCATTTCATTGGCTTAGCATCTAAGATCATCAGGTCTGATGGGGAATGGCCAACAGAACGGGCGGGAATGTTGTGGAAGCAAACATGATAACTTGTTATAAAAGTAGGTGCACATGTCCATCTTCTTCACATCACCTAGTGAACTCGATCACTTGCTGTTGTGAAGCGATGGTGATGAAGTCCACTGTTGTGTGCCTTGTGGCACTGGCCTTGTTAGGCAGCTTATGTCATGCTCAAAGGGCACAAAGTGGTGGTTACCTACCACAACAGAAGCCAGCACAGGAGCCTGTCAAACACCATCCTCACCAACAGAGTAAGCAGACATTTGAAAGACCTCTCACCTGGGAATACCCTGAAGACCCCACGCCTGACCCTGAAGTCGTGGTGCCGTTCGAGTTGAGATATCCTGTTGCTGCTGCAACTGTTGCTGTCGAGTGCAGAGAGAGTATTGCTCACGTGGAAGCCAAGAAGGACTTGTTTGGGATTGGCCAATTTATCAACCCTGCCGACATTACCCTGGGAAACTGTGCCCCTGTCGCAGTGGACAATGCTAATCAAGTGTTGATTTTTGAGACAGAACTCCACAGTTGTCATAGCACATTAACCGTAAGCTAAATACAAATGCTAGTCACTGAAAAATAAATGAAAGATTGCAATGATTATTATCTAAAAATATGGTAAACCAATATGTTCATGTATGATGCCATTTGTTTGTAATAATATACATTTTTCCACTAGGTGACAGAAGATTACCTTATCTACAGCTTCACTCTGAACTATGATCCCAAACCTCTGGCCGATACTCTTGTGGTGAGGACCAGCAAAGCTGCAGTAATTGTGGAATGCCACTACCCAAGGTAATAAGACCATTAGAGGTGTGGCAATGAACATACAAACATATAATAAATAACATAATATGACATTGAAATACTAACACATTTAGTAACTCCAGTAACCATGGATCACCAAATCTGATTACCTGTGGCGGATGCATATTAGAAATGACTTTAAGCTGCATTTTAAGCAAACCTCTTTCATCATTTAGGAAGCACAATGTGAGCAGCCTTCCTCTTGACCCCTTGTGGATCCCATTCTCTGCAGTTAAGGTGTCAGAGGAATTCCTTTACTTCACCTTGAGACTCATGACTGGTGAGTTAAAAAACAGTTTATCTGCAGAATTAACCTTTTACAGAGCTTTGATTAGAAATGTATATTTTGCAACACTCTTACATTTAAATTTTATGTTTGATCAGATGACGGGCAAAACGAGAGACCAAGCTTCCAGTATTACCTGGGAGACATCATAAATGTAGAGGCTGTTGTCAAGCAGTTCTTCCACGTGCCCCTCCGTGTCTATGTGGAGAGATGCGTAGCCACCATTGCACCTGACATGAACTCGCTACCTCACTATGTCTTCATTGAAAACAATGGGTGAGCTGGTTAATTTAAATTGATGTGTACAGCGAAAATTGATTATCACAAACAGAAGTTTGTCCTCTAATGTGGTTTTTCTGCATGCAGGTGTTTGGTTGATGCAAGGATCACAGGCTCTAGCTCTAAGTTCATGGCTCGCACTTCAGACAACAAGCTTCAGTTCCAGTTGGAGGCCTTCAGGTTCCAGAACGCTGGCAGTGGATTGGTGGGCATCTCCAAGACTGATTAAAAGATTCTGCTATATATCATATGCAGGAAAAATACATATAATAATAACTTAACCACTCTCTTTTTCTAACAGCTCTACATTACATGCCACCTGAAAGCTACATCCACTTTACGTCCCATCGATGCTGAACATAGAGCTTGTTCCTACATCAATGGGTGAGTCTGGGCTTCTTTGAAAATGTGTCATTGGAGTATTGATACATTATTAACTTTTCTTCTCTTCTTCTTCTTTCCTCCAAGGTGGAAAGAGGCCAGCGGACAGAATGCAGCTTGTGGCTCCTGTGAATCTGGTGTATTTGGAGGAAAAAGTGGAAATCAAGGACCTTGGCTTCCCCCCAACCCCGGTCAGACTCCTGGAAGGAAGATCCGTGATGTGTCCCAAAGAGAAAATAACGGTATGGTATATTGTATGCATTCCTAGTGAATGTGTGCCTGAGTTGTAAGACAACCCCAGCAGTGCAAAACGTGACACGTGTCTTCTGTCTTTCTTTCTAGTTTTCGAATGGGAAGGTGATGTCACCCTGGGCCCCATCCCCATTGGAGAGAGGGTTGTCGCTTAACTCAATTTCCTGCCACAGCTATGACCATGAAAATAAACATTCTCAATGGTTAACAACTGTCTTTATGTTTTTCACTTTCTTTCTTGTTGATAATTCAGCTTAAACAAGAAAATAACCCATATTTACTACTTTTAATGTTAACAGAATTTGACATATACAAAAAATAATAAAGGTGTAAGAAACAGATGAAAGTGTAACTTGCTTTTCATTTCCCTCTGTTAAATGCTAAATGTTCAGTTCATACTGTAGACTAGCATCTTTTAAGCTGCACACTGATATGAAAGGGACTATGATTTCTGAGTTAACATCATAATTTAATAAATGAGAATACAATTTGGTAAAAATAAAAGTTTCCTTCCATTAGATCACTATGGTGTACAATAACTTCTAGTAAAGTAGAAGGACAATACAAATGCATCCTGTGTGTAAACGTTTACTGCCCCCGTGTGCAACAGATTGTAAACTGCAGTTTAGCGATTTGCACTTCAGAACCACAGGCAGTGAACAGCTCCACATTGCGTCTGCTCGGGATCGAATGATACATTTAAAGTATTTGCATAAACTCAACGTCTGAGTTAGGATGCTCTGATTGATAGTTCATTTACAATCTTTGATTCAATAGTAAATAAAAAGGGAGCAAAACTGAAACGTTCAGCCACTGATCACCTTAAAGCTTCCTCAATGCCTATATTTTATGTATTTTTCCTCTGAAAGTCATAGCGTTATCTGGATAAATTAACCATATTATGTATGCCTTATTATGATAATTATAGCCTAGTAAAGATAATTTGCATTTGAGATACATGTTTGATGTGCGTTAAGACCTTCCATAATACCCTTTGTTGTTTGAGAAAACATTTAGTATTTCAACAGTCTATTTATATGTAGCCTAGCACCTGTTTCGTTTTACCTTTTAAGAAATGTTTTTCTTCAATATTTGAGGCACTTTGTTTTCGTGTCCGGATATTTCAACAATTCTTCTTTAAATGTTGCCATTGCCATTTTTGGTTAATGTTCTGTTCTGTCCTATACGGCAGCACTTGCCATTTTTCCCCCTCTCTCTCGCCATTGTATTTATGGATATATCAGGATAAAGTTGTCTGACACAAGCAGGATGGGGTCAAAATAAACATCTCAAACAAGAAACAAGAGTTCACATAC